CTTCCCGCTCGAGGCCGCCATTTTGACCGCCGCCATTTTGAAAAAGACTGACTTTTCTGGAAAACCAATGCCAGAATCGTTTTTCTCATCCCAAAAAACCCTAGGATTTCGAGTTTCACACCAATCCGTCAATAAACAACGGAGATGCCAAATTTCCGCCATTTTGAACTTTGACCGGCCGCCATTTTGTCAAAAATGAACATTTTGACCTGCGGTTTGCGCCAAAAATTTTCTTTTTTTATTATCTTTCGAATGAGGTATCACAAAGGGGGGGTTGCCATATGAAAAAAAAAAGTTGCCCCCCGCCCTCCCCTAGGGAGGCCCCCAAAAAAATTTTGGGGAGTGCCAAAAAGTAGCTTACATTGACCTAAGAACATCCCCCAAAATTCGTTTTTCTACGTGTAGCTGTTTAAAAAATAAACAGCCGTCCCGGGACTTTTGCCGCACCCTGTATTAGGAATGGCAGGCATCTTTCAAAAGTAAGGAGCTTTCCTCGCAAAATAAATCAATATACTACGGCCCAAAAAGAGAGCGGTAGTCCAAAAACTCACTGAGTCCTAGCATCCGTAATTAGTAACGTTTAGCATATCTTTTATCGCCATCGTCTATAAAAGGCTATAAGATATTGTGTTGCCGGCTATAGAAGCTATTGGAAATCTTACAGCCGGCTGTAGGTCTATGGTATTTTGGAACACACTGCTAATTTTTACCAGGGGCTGCATTTGGCGGGAAAGAAAGAAACAGTTTTTTTATTTGTGTGTGCCTAATTGAAGTCAGTAAATTAGCTGTCTCGATCTTAGAGAGCAGCTGGCACAATTTTACAATTAACACAACTTCGAATGACATTTTTCCTGTTATCTATGTATCTAATTCTCCTCACTGCCATATTTTAGTTCGTTCATTTCTGAAGAATACTTAATTGAAATTAATTTTTGACGAAAATCATCAACTACCGAGTGCTTTGATACACGTACTTAGGTGTAAGGCTTTTTTTTCCTGATTATTGCAGAATTCACTTTTGGAAAGGTGCTAAATTGATATTAGGTTTCGTTTCACAATTTGGAGAGTCAAAAAGATTTAAAAAACATTTAGCCTCTATCAATGCTCATTGACTCTGGAACACCTCTTCTGACAGCTGAATACGAGTCATAAACAGAAGATCCTCATTGCTCCAAAAAGTTAGTTTCTTTTGTCGAATGCAATGCAATAAAAATAAATTTCAAACCATCGCTACGCTTTAATTTCATGATTTTCAATAAAATCTAAATAATTTTTTCTCTGATCCTCATTAAATCGACAAAACGACCCTCAAAATTAGACGGATATGACTGATATTAGTGAATGAATACTACGCACTTCAGGAAAATTTATCTTATTCCCCTAAAATTGAAACTCCATCAATCTACGAATAGAAGTGGGAATCTTGATCTGACCGTCGCGTCGCTGGGGTAGTATTCTATACCCCATGGAGTAACGAATAAGAGAATACCAAAATTTGCAGCCCAGAAAAGTTTGGAGGGCGACTTAATTTCAAGTCGTAACACGGACATATTGTCTAAAAGCTAGATTGCATTCAGGAACACATGGATTTTTGGTCTTGCGATTAATTTCTGCCTATTTGTTTCTGTCAAAATCTAAAAAGACGAGTGAAGAAAAAAGAAGAGTATATCGTATTCTCACGCCACCTAATGATCAAACGTATGTGGCTATTTGTACACGTGGCCGTCCACAAAAAAGAGGACCTTACTTTTAAAAAAAGAAAAGAAAACGCATCATTGGGTTGTTAATAACGTAGCAAGAGCAAAAGACCAAATGGTAAAAAATAATCCAAAAGTGTCCGCAGCAAACCGGACTTACAGTGCTTTGAAATGTGCAGTTTCTGGGAAAACTATTCAAAGTTGTAATTTGTCATGTTTAGGTTTCGATAAAGTCGGATTTTAATGCCACTTAATGATCTCCGATCTATCATGACAATGAACTGTGCCGGGGGATTTTTTTTTTTAGATTACCAAAGACAGAGTTTTGCATTGAAATCATCTCAAAATTACTAGAAGCGGTAGCGACCCCGTCAAGCCTATAGAGATCTCCAATAACGAAAATGGGAGCCGCTACTGTATCTTACACGAACCCGTTCAATTCGATTTTCCCGAAATCGCACAAATAATAAATTTTGTCCCCGCGGATTTGACTTAAATTTAATCACTTAGTTTTGCTATCTTGCTAATTTTTGTTGCGCAAGTACCAGAGTACCTGCGCTGCCACCTGCTCATCTGCATTCTCGTTCTTAGGTACTCTCTACTTTAAATTGCCTTGATAAACACAAAATTAGTACGATAAAAAGTATAGGAGGAAATTACATGCAAGAAACTACATCACAAGTTTCGTTAAAAAAAAATTAAAGAAAAGCTTTCGTGAAATGGCCTGGAAATAAAAATAATTTTTTCTTGCTCTCTTTTGAAACTGCAGAAACTTCCAATACCCCCGGAGAAAAGACAAAAACTGGCACATCTAGCTCTTCCGCCAGACGTCAAAAGTAATTCAGTGATTTTCTCGCTCAAAAATCAAGTTGGTGGATTAGCAAGAGCCTTGCAAGTTTTTCAGGTAAGCATACTTGTCAGAACAACTACATATTCAAATAAAATTACAACACTCAATTTTTCAAATCCTGCAAATCTGTCGTTGACAACAGGACTAACGAATCTTTGACACCTACGTTCCTTCGCAAGCGATTACATTATAGTGAAATAGAAATGTTCCTCGTAGTCAATTTTCAATATTTTTTTAAATTTTACATTCAGTTCTCTTCTGATAACTAGATAACGCTCTGACAAATGGAAATACAAGGAGGAAAAAAATTAGATTTTTCCATTTTCCCAGTCATTCTGGAGGGACAAGCTTGGACCAGTTTAATTGACATTTTTTTTAGGGGCAGGCGCGAATAATATCAGCACTGCCATGTTAAGGAAGAAGATCGTATGAGCATTTAAATGTTGCCAAATTTCCTTTGATAAAATATCACTCAGGTACTAGAGAAAGCTGTGCATATTTTTCCTTCGAATTTTTCAGAGAATTTAATTCCCTATCAAATCTTACTCATCTAAAAATTTTAAGAGGGAAAATGCATAACTCTCTTTAAAATAAAATATTTTATCGGAGGAAATTCGGCAACCTCTGAAAATTCTTACGGTGTTTTTGCCTTAGCAAGGCAGAGTATGAAGATAGCTAAAGATCTCTGTTCCTCCTTTTAAAGGGTGTCAAGTTTTTTTTTTTTTTTTTCATTTTGGGAAATCCTGACGAAATCCTGATTTTTCCTGATTTTTGACTGCTAAATCCTGATTTCATAATTTTTCCAAATCCTGATTTTGAATGTAACTTCACAAAAATAGCTCAATAAAAAATCCGATCGGAAGGCCCACTTATCTCAAATCCTGATTTTACGGCCAATTTTTCCTTAAATCCTGATGAAATCGGAATTAAATCCTGATTAACCTCAAATCCTGATAGAATCGGGAAAATCCTGATGCTAGACACCCTGTCATCATTTAGTAATTCATCACATGGTCATCACCGGTCAAGCTTTCCTCTTACAGTGCAACGAGATACTGGTGAGAAAAGCAGCCGGAGATAGCAAACGATCCAGTGAGTTGAGAAATTGAGAGGGGAAGCCAACGGAAAAGATGAATACCCACGAGGGATTATTTCGCAAATATCCCCCGCGATCCCTTCGAAACCCTTTGATTTTCGAACGGAAGCTATTATCTCTGGCTCTCAGTTCCGCGTTGATTTGATGGATTGTTCCACTATTTGCGAATCTTTCACGACTCCTATTCGCTTCCTTGATCTATCACGAGATTTTTTGTGCAGAATCTTGTAGATATTTCTCCTATGTAAAGGATCATACATTCCGTAACGCTCTGAGGGGAGAGGAGGCATGATCTTGCGTTATGCTGCGTTACAAAAAGGGCAGGGGGATGGGAGGGGGGTCAGTTTTATGGGATGCGACCTCTTCCATCAGACGACTCGATTTGATCGTGTGATACTAGCTTAAACGGGATCCTCCACCCAAGTAACACAAAATGCAATAAATTGCAATTAATTACTTACAAGGTAACATTATTGCTACTGCATCCAAGTGTTGTGTAAGTTGCCTATCCAATGATTGAAGGATCACTTTGTATTGAAATTTATTGCGATAAAACTGAAATGAGTTAAAATTACTTAGATGGTGAAATTATTGCTACTGTAATAGAGTGTTGTGTAAGTTGCCCATCTATTGATTGGAGGATCACTTTTTATTGGAATTTATTGCGATAAAAATAAAATAAGTTAAAATTAATTTTTATTGAATTAAAAATTATATTTCTAACTCATTTTTTTGATCGTTTCAAATCGACATCTATATTGACCAAAGGATGTAATAATGTTGATATTTTGTACAGGGGCGGACTAGCTCCAAATTTTCTAGGAGACGAACCTCGAGAAAAAGAGATTTGGGGACACTTCCTGATGAAAGGGGAGGGAGGTTCTGATGAGGCCCTGAGAGGCTCTTGGAAAAAGCCTAATGGAACCTCAAAAATCTGTCAAAAGGGTCTGTTTAGGAGGCGATCCCTCCGGCCCCCCGGGCCGGTCTGCTTTTGATTTCATGGTTAAAAATCGAAATTGTGTTGCAATGAATCGCAATTTTATTTCAACATTGCCATTGCACTCTGCTTATTAGGTAAGCTTCTTCTGAGTAGGAACCATCCCTGGGGCCACCTCTGACGATGATTTTTGATCTCTACTGAAAAAAAAAGTTACGGGTTAAACGGTCAAACTACAGGAGCCGAAACACCTTTGAACCCTAACTTTTAAATTGAGATTTTGATTTTTCATGGATCATTTACGAAATATGAATTATGTAATGAGATATCAGCTTTAAGCTGAACTTTTAACGCACGTTGGCTAAGAAACTCCAACATCCCGTCTTACGACCCTTGCGTTTACCGCAATCAGTTCGTGTATTTATGAATTATTCAGGGCATACAAGTACAGGGGAGTACTTTCCATGAGATTTGTTTCACAACCGTTGCCTAACTCAAAAAAACGATTTACTCTCCGAAATTTGGGGGGAGGGGGCGTAGTTCCGACTAACACACACTTTATTTTTTGACACTAATCTAAGGACACTTTTGGAAAAAACTTAATACAACAAAAAAGTCTCATTTTGAACCATAGAACACGCTCCTACAGTCTGGCCGTTTAACCCTGGATCACCCTGTATAGACATCGACGGTGAAACTGCCAGACCACGTATCTCTTTTGCGGTGTTAAAAAATCTCTGCCCCCATTTTATTTTGTTAAAGGAGAAAAAATCAATATCATTTCTTGAAATTTTCCCAAATTTTCCTTCGCATAGAGAGGAAAAAACACGGAAGTTTTCAAGAATCGACGTCAAGTAGTTTCCTATTTAAAAAATGAAGTATGACAGGAAGTCCACAACGTCGCAAACTGAGATACGTGGTCTGGTAGTTTCACCGTCGACATACCGTCCGTTCTGGGCTCTGGTCGAGAGTACCGGGTGCTGGAGCCGTAGCTTCGATTGCCGCGGGTGCTCCGCGCCCGGAACTTTCGGCCTCTGAGCCCGGAACGCGGACGGTACGTCTACATAGCCCGTAAACATAGAGTACATAGAGTCGTAATGTAAAAGGGGGGAGCTGGCGCCACTTTTAAGCATTTTCCAGGTCCCGTATTCCGAGACTCCTGTGTGACGCCGGGTCACTTTTTTGATACATAATTAATTGTTTGCGATACACGGGTACCCGGCCATTCGATGTAAACAAAGAAGATAGGGATCACCACGTATTCCGCACCGCCATTTTGGATCAAACTTGTATCGAAAAAGTGACCCGAACTCGGCGCACACCGGGCTCGGAACTCGTCGAGCAGAACATGGCGCCAGCTCTCCCATTTACATTACGACTCTATGTACTCTATGCCCGTAAAGACGGCTCCCCGGCCGGAGTTTCTTTTATGAGTATGGTTACTTTTGTTCAGGACCTAGGCATCAACGTTCTGCACATCGAGTCCCGGCCGTCGAGCAGGAAGGAGTCCGAGTACGAGATCCTCGTGGACGTGGAGTGCGACAACCGGCGGATGGAGCAGCTCATGAGCCTCCTCCGCCGGGAGGTGGCCGCCATCAATCTGGCCAACTTCGAGGACGGCGCCGAGCTCCCCCCGCCCACCCCCCTCTCGGCCACCGCCAGCTTCGGTAAGAGCCACCCTTGACCGTTGATTAATAGCCCCCCGAGCCCCGACGCAAAATCTACCCATGGCATACTAACCACGTCATCATAGCGGTTGCATCAGGGCCCACGCGGTCGAAAAGACAATCCGCTTCGTACTGCATAGTAAGAATGGAGAATTTGCGGGTGTCTGAAATTTGGATTGAGTTAAGCAGAAAGGAACCAACCCACATTTCGGAAAAAATTGAGTTATGAGTGGTTTTGAACTCAACCACTGCTCTACTATCTATCACCAAAAATTCAAAGTTTTTGTTGGATCAAATTTTGCAGAAATTGAACTTGAAGTTTATCTTTTACATTGAGTCTTATGCAGGAGCCAAACTTTCAACCTCTTTTTCTCGGTTCGATCCTGATGTGGCTTGGTTCCTTCCTGTTTAACGCCGTCCATTTGATGAATGAAGAATTTGCATGCAAATTTTTTATTGCTTCATCTGAAGGTGTTTAAAGAGCTGATTTCACAGTATTTTTTATAACTTTTTTTTGATATGGGAAATAGTGTACAAATAGCTTTGAAAGTGAGAAAATATAGTGACCGTGTAGTGACGTCATCTGGCGGCATTTCCCATTTAAACACATGTATTTTAGCAGATTAGGTTATTTTGTCATATCTTCTCCAATAATTGTTCAATTCATGAACCAAGGGTGTCCTTGTGTTCAGTCCACTCAGTAGTTTCCACTTGAACAGGAAATTCATCAAATTTCAGACACCCACAAATTCTCTATTCCGTATTTAAGTGGACGAGACTAAGTGAGCTGAACACGAGGATACTCTCGGTTCATAAATTGAACAATTATTGGAGGATATGTGACAAAATAACCTAATCTGCTAAAATACATGTGTTTAAATGGGAAATGCCGCCAGTCACTATAGGCGGTGCATTTTCTCACTTTTAAATTTATTTTTATACTATTTCCCATTGCAGACAAAATTATAAACAACACTGCAAAATAAGCTCTTTAGGCACTTTCAGACGAAGCAATACAAAATTTGCGTTCAAATTGTCCATTAAAGCAATCGACATTTGGAATTCATTTTGCAATTAGGAACTGCAATTTCTGGCTCAGGTTAGAATCCACGTATGTACCATTAATTTCCCTATGCAGATACGCTGAAAAAAACACTCCGCCCGTGGAAGCTGTACTCGCGGCTGCTCCGGGTGCTATGCCCGGAACTTTCGGCCTGTAAGCCCGGAACGTGAACAGTATGTCTGTAAAACCCGTAACTTTTTTTCAGTTTTTACGGATGAGCCGAATTGAAGAATTGTTAATAGCAAAATTTTAGTGTATGTTGTATGAATATCGATGGCTAAAGTGCGAAATCACGTAACTCCATTGCGGTGTTTCAAAATCTTCGCTATTTTATTTTTGCAAAGAGAAACAAGTCAACTATATAGCTTGAAATCTCTACGGAATATTCTGCTTATAGAGAGGAAAAATCAAGGAAGTTATGAAGACATTTAGCTGACTACGATGTTTTTCGAAAGAAAAAATAAAGTATGACAGGAAGTTTGCAACGTCGCAAACTGAGATACGTGGTATCACACTTTGGACATCAATATGGGAAGTAGAACATAAAGTAACTGGAACCCGCGATTATATGTTTCACGTCGACGCGACTGCTGCTGACCGCAATGCACAATGCGTGAAGTATTCATGGAGTCTTGTAGGCGCTATGCGTTTCATGCCAACCGCTGCTAACCGCACTATGTTTGGCGCAATGCGTGAAGTATTCATGGAGGTTTGTAGGCGCTAATATGTGTTCCATGCTGACCGACGTGCCTAGGGCTTCTCATTTTCATCTCAAGTCCTCGTCATCATTCCTCTCTGCGCCGCGCCGCTCCGGGCCAAATTGCGTGTTTGGATTCTTTCTTAACTTGACTAATAAAAGGTGATGTCTCTTGTATCACCGTAAGACGAACAAATTAGAAATTAATATACTTTAATTCTCAGGAAATAAGAGATTTTCTTCGCCTTTTCACGTTGGTAATTTTTTTTCTGAATCCGATTCTTTTTTTTGATACCTACATTTGAAAAAATTGCAAAATTTGCCGCCTCCTAAATTTGACGCCATGGGCCGCGGCCCATTTGCCCAACCCCTAAACCCGGCCGTGATTGAATAATATGAACTAAACTATGTTTTAATTCTAGATTTTGAGGAAATGCCATGGTTTCCAAGGAAAATCGCAGACTTAGATAAGGCTCAAAAAGTTTTAATGTATGGTGCAGAATTAGACGCGGATCATCCGGTAAGAGAATTTCAAAGCTCATTAAGAATTGTTTATAGGTAAGTCGTGAACCTGTTGAATTTAACATCATATCAACTGTCACTAAATATATCCCTAAGCTGTAACTCATTTCTCTCTGTTTTTCCCAGCAACAACAAATCTCCCCGCTGATTTTATGACAACTAAAACTATCCATAACAGACGCATAAAATTTGATTTTTGTCGTCTGGGTGATTCGTTCATAAAGCAGTTAGACTAGATTTGACGTGACTCAGTCTGACCCACTTTTACAAAGGACTTCTCCTTTTTACTCCAGATAATTTCTTATTGTGGTCGCAAAGTGGATAACAGTTCGTCATTCCATACTCATATATGATGTGTGTCCGTAAACCTGAGTATTTACTATATTAAATATGAGCTCATTCGCTGAAAGATAAATATGATTTAAAGAATATGTTTGAACATTTATCACTGTATTTTTCTGTTCGGCAGGGTTTCAAAGATCCAGTTTACCGAAAGAGGCGCGAGCAGTTTGCAAAAATCGCTTTCTCCTACAAATAGTAAGTAAAAACATATCAAAACTCAACCTGCCACGAAAGTATAAAGATCTATTGGAGAGAAATAGGCAAAGATACAGAGTGATGTGGGAGAGAAAGACTTCCTTAACAGAGATAGAATACAATCTTTCTGAGCGAGGTGTACTAAGAGCATCCAGACAAATCCGAGTGTGTTCTTTCGAAAGTGAAGCGCCTTCAGTCCCGTTCGTAGACTTCCCGATTTCCCAAGAGTCGAAATAATTGTATCGTGAAAAATGGCGCGGCGTTCGTAAGTTCATGCACGTATCGGGTATTTTCAATGCTCCATGCCTGATACGAAATTGTATCCAACGTCACTTAAACGCGCTTCTCAGTTATTAATAATATTCAGACATTTCATGAGAAATGTGGTAATCACAAAAGCAAACAAGAATTTTACAAAATTGAATTTCATTCTATTAGATAACATGCTGCCCATGCAGCGACATAGTTTCAGTTGCATTTCATGATACTATATTAAGAAACGGATTTTAAAGTAAGGATTTTAAGGTTCAAAGTAAATTCAAAAGTTTCACAAAAGTATTCACTAAAAATACACATGTCTACCAGGGCCGGATTTACCGACTTACCGCCCATGGGCCGCCTGTATTTTTCCACCCCCTTCTCATTAGTTTTAGAACATCAATAAAAACCATCGAGAGAACGTCTCGGAGGGGGAGGGGTGCATAAGACGCGTTTAATCGTGTTGGACACATTTTTTGCGAAAGCCCTGTTAACACTTTTAGCAAAAGTTCACGGAACTTTGGGCGAAAATTAAGTTCCGTGAACCTACCTCTGCGTGGACAAGGCCTTCCATTTATAAGAAATGAACGAAACAATTATGAAGGAACAAACATGAATGATGGTTTAATCATTGTCAATTCCGCCGCCGCGTCGCGCCGACCGCACTGTTTTTGACGCAGTGCGTGAAGTATTCTTTCAGTCTTCGGTCAGCAGCGCCGACCGCTGCTCAACGCACTGTGTTTGACGGAATGCGTGAAGTATTCATGGAGTCTTGTAGGCGCTATGCGTCTCACGCCGACCGCTGCTGACCGCACTGTGTTTGACGCAATGCGTGAAGTATGCATACAGTTTTGTAGGCGCTATATGTTTATAGGCCTTTTCTCGTTTGTAATTTTTTGTGAATCCGATTTTTTTATACCTACATTTAAAAGAAATTGCAAAATTTGCCGCCATGGGCCACGGCCCATGTGGCCATACCCTAAATCCGGCCCTGATGTCTACAAATCATTTGCGCAATTACTTGAAAAATACCGCGGGAAAAATGAAATTTGTTGCGCTCTCTAGGCTGAAATTCTCTTACTAAGGATCTGTGATATTCTGTTACTTAGTGCTTGCATCTAATCCGGTATATTTACTTTCATTTTTAGTGGTCAGCCTATTCCTAAGGTCCAGTACACGGCGGAGGAAATTAAAACATGGTAAGTGGAAGGACACCCTCAACCAAAACTAATTCTTAGTTTTAGAATTCAGGTAAAAAGACTTCAAGAAAAACTGGAAAACCCCCTTGAATTTATTAAATTTACTCGCATTAAAACATTTCGCACGTTGAAACTGAAGCAAGCTGGCTTATTCAATTTAGAGTAAATGATTAATTATGTAATTTCTCAAAATGCTGATTGCAATTACTTGGCTGAGTAACAAGGGTCTTGCCGATAGAGCAAGGAAGACATTTGATTTCTCTTTTTGCTACAACATGCAAAGCTTCGTGGCAATTATATATCAGACGCGATGAAATCATAATTCGATTATTGAGATTGCGTTGTCCGTTTCTTGCTTTTAGAGCACGAATAGTGCTCTCGAAGTTAATTTTCTGATCAAAACTAAACGAATTTTCAGAGATCATGATTAATGGCTTGAGTTTGTCTCTATTCATTTGAAACAGTTGCATGCAGGCTGGCAGGGGTAAAGGCCTGTGTTAGTGGGATCTGGTGGTGAGGGAGGGGGCATCCGACATTTACAGAAAAGAGGTTGTCATACCTACCATGAAATTCTTAATTATATTTTTGAGTGCACTTCGTTTAACATCGCATTGATATTGAAGGCTCTCTGACCTCTTACATTTTGCTTTTTGTGTTTTTTTGGCCGTTGGCGAAAAGCAGTGTGATCGAAAGCATTCTCGTAATGCTGCAACTCCTCCAGCTTCATTGAATACGGAACTGAAGGGCGAATAAGGCAGCCGGTGGACATGCCGCAAGCAATTAGCAATCGCCGGCAATTTGCAAGCGGTTTACATGTTGTTTCAATATATCGCAATAATGCGCATCGGCATAATGTAATTTTTAAGGGTTATGATCTTCAAAAGTATGAGCTCGGCTTGAAGCGCCTTCATTTTTCGTGATACTCTACGCTTTGTCACGATGTTAGTTCAGTTGCCTGTCCGATCTCAACCCGACTACTGTCACGGAGTTCACTGCACGCTCTCTTGAGTGCGCGTGTTTCTGCCATGTTTCTAAGGATGGAAAAGTGTCAATTCACATCATAGGCAACATAATCAGCTCTCTAATATTGTTCTTTTATTTTTAAATTATATGATTTTCTATATTTATTCATGGCTTGCAAATTGCCGGCGACTGCTAATTGCCTCCGACAGATATACACTGCTTGCTTCACGCATGTGCCGACGTAGTTTATGAAACCAAGCTGTAAAACACCGTGTTATACTTACACCACTGCAATAGAAGCCATTAATCGCCGCTTTTATCTGTTGGCTATACCTTTTTTATGATTGAACTTACAGAAACTTGATGTTTTGATTGAAAGAATAATTTTTTGCAATTCTTTGATTGACTCTTTCTCAAGTGAACAAACTCCGCGAAAAAAGTAGCGTCACGGATTTCCCTTTTAAAATTCTCAGATTTATTCCTGTTTTTTTTTTTCTCTCTATCAACATTTTTTTTCAAGAACGCTTTGAAGCGCGAAATTTCTTGAAATTGGGAGAGTGCGAGGTTTAGGTTGATAGGAAAAATGTCAAGGTCTCGCAGCAAAATTTCCCGATTTATTAGGGTTGGGAAAAATTCCTTGACTATTCAGGAACCGGACACCCTCAAAAGTTCACACGAGTGAAAATTTTGGTGGAAACCCCATATCGATTCCAGGCTAAGTCTCGTCCATTCTACGCTCAGTTCGTCATGTACGTATGCACGGAAGCGCGTGCAAACTCGCCAAAATCTACCCACTTGGCAACGCCGGAAAAGCTACAGCCAAACTTTGCTCAGCCTAATTGAACTAACTTGTTGCACAATGTCATCCCTGATTCGCGCCATCGCCCCATTCAAAACTGTGTTCCTGTTCACCGAACTTAGAATTTATATCGGCGTGGGTTTTCGCGCTTTCGACCAGAGAGCGCATTGTTGCAATGTTGTATACTTGAAAGTACCGATAAAAAGCCACAAAACCGAACGGCAGACGATATCATAAACATATTAAACAAAAGTTTTGCATAAGTAAAAAAAAAACGACCGAAGTATCTAACCGAATATGTTTGAATTAATGGGTGAAAAAAATTCACAGAAAATTTCAAGCATAAACGTTAAGTTGATTCGTCAAGCTCGAGTGACGTGGTCGAACTGTCATGCGACATATCGCATTGATTAGGTCAAAAACCTCGACGGATTTTGAATTTTTAGCAAAAAAGAAGGACGATAGCCCCTGCACAAGAGCCTGTAGGATCATTCTAAACCCAAAAATTGGCAAAATTCAGAGAAATGAAAGCAGAATAGTGCTTGGGAAAAAACCTCGCATTCGATTCAGCTATCGATTTCTGTATCGAATGTGAGGTTTTTTCCAAACACTGCTCTGCTTTCATTTCTCTGAATTTTTTTCCGAGACACCATTTTGGAAAGTAAGATCCAGATCCCTCCTAGAAAAGTGGAGGATATGCCACCTTCCAAAAATTGCTCCAACTACGCCTGAGCAAATAAGAAATACCGTTCGATTTCGATGTTGTGGCTGGATTAAGACCAACTCCTTCACCCTGCACCGTTCGATTTTAGAGGAATTTGGTCGTTACTTCTGTTTTTGGTTGCGCGGCAGTTTCAGAGTCGATTTCATCAGTGGCGTGGCGTGCTTTGCGATATATTGATTGATATGCCATTTAAACCTATGAAAAAGGATCGATAAACAGGGTGTTCGCAGCGAACACCTTAATAATCGATTCTTTACCATAGGTTTGAATGGCATAACAATCGATACATCGCAATTAACGTCACGCCTCTGGATTTCATGTTCTGCAACACGCTATATGCAATTCCTGAAAATATCTTTCGAGCAGCAGATCAGACACGCTATCTCGTGCCTCTGAAAAAGGCATTGGCGCTAGCCTCCAGCTACCTAAACCCGATTTCGTCTGTAATCCTGTGAAAGGATTCCTCGTTTGCACAACGTCCTGTAACACGCGTCGCGAAGAGAAAACAATCGTGCGGAAGGATCGAGCGTTTCATTGACTTGCTTATTCGCTGCAGATTCGGGGATCAAGCGAGAGGGTGGGCGGTGGGGGGTAGGGCGTGAGGCGCCGCGCTGTGCCGTGACATGGTGAGCTGAGGTGGGTTGCGGGTTGCGTCTGCAGTTAATGGCAGGCGGCATGATCCCAGGCGACTAGGGGCCGGAGAGAGCGTGAGGCGTGGACGATTGGGCCAATCTTTAAGATTGCTCTCTTTTAGCTCGCGCGTCTCCGCGATTTGGATTTTCCGACGAGTTTTCCGCGGCGCTGTTGTATTGTCGCACAATTATTGGGACATTTGACAGGGTGCCTACAAATATTTCTGCCTTGGTGAGGAAGAGCGCCTTATGAACTTTCGAGAGTTGCCAAATTTCCCTGGATAAAACAAGTGTTTTTAACGACATTCATGCACATTTTTTCTTTGAAATTTTCAGATATTTTAGATTAAATTGCTCACAAAATTGTCTAAAAATTTTGGGTAAAATATTCACAATTTTCCCAGTAAATTCAGTTTATATCGAATGAAATTTTGCAACGCCTGAAGGTTCATACGGCGTTTTTCCTTAGCACGGCAGATTTCATTTCGGATTTTCCTGAGATTTTAGGTAAAAGGAGGAGGAGGTGTATTGATAAGGGCCGTTTTTATGCCCTCGTTGTATTTCCTCAACTCTACGGCTTTTTGCTCCAAAGTACAACATGATTTGAGGGGCTTGGAAGACAAGGCGCATAAGTCCAGTTTTTCAGCATCAAAAAGCCAGTTTGAACTTTCTTTCTGCTATAAAGATCCATGTAATTTCGAAACTTCAAATGCGTATTTCTCAATATAACAAATACTGCACCGGTGCGCCATGTCCACCAAGCCCATCACTTGGTCATTTTCGGGTCTAATACCAGCATAAACATCGGTCTGACGGGCAATTATTGAAAAATCCGGGTTTTGTCGGTTTGCGGTCGAAGGCCGAAAAATTCGAATGTTTCGCCAAAATCGGCCTTCAAGCCTCGGCTTAAATCAGCATTTGACCTATAGAGAGATGGAAAATGACCAACTCATGGTGCGCTTCGTTGAAAATAGATCTTCGATGCGAAAAAATCGCCATGTTCAGGAAATTTGGGATGGGCTCAAAAACGGCCTTTATCGATACTCCTCTTTTCCTGATGATTTGTACAAATGAATTGACAGGAGTTTGAAATCCAGACTAAACATATTTAATGAATTGAATCAAATGTTTCGCTTTTGCATGTTCTGACAGCCATATAGTTGAAAAATGCTTGACGCATTCAGAATTTTTTGATCTATGACAGCGCTTTTCCTAATTTTTCTTGATGGCATCAAATTCCCTAATATTTTCCGGTTTTTACTGACGCTACGTTTAGGTACTGACAAAGTGGAGAAAAGGTTCTGGGTCCACACCATTTCGCGGGGAAGAAAAAGAAAAATTAGAAAGAGTTTGATATTTCCAGTATCTTGCGCCTTACAAGCAACTTCGCCACGACGCGACCGTCATGATACGCTCTGAGAGAAAATTCGCTGTTAAAAATTACCTACTTAATTTACTAAACTTTCAATTCTTAGTGTTTTTTTCTCTCATTTAGGTACTAACGTTGTTAAACTTTAACGAAGTCTGAAATTCTATAAATTTTTTACACAATAATCCCGAATAAGAATTTTGCACAGGAATCGATTAGCTCAATGAATTTTTATGTTTTTATTTGAGGTATTCTGTTATCTTTCTTTTTGAATTGACTTCTAAGGAAGATAATTCCGTCTTCTGTCTGTAAATCGAAAATAAAATCCACTTGAATTAAAAAGATCAGACAGATCCTGGCGATTTTTGTATGATCGATAAGTTTTCCCATTATTAAAAAAAAAAAAAAAGAACGGCGTGTGATGTTGCATTGTGATTTTTTTCCTGTTTTTAGGGGCACTGTATTTCGCGAGTTGCACAAACTGTACGTGAAGCATGCGTGTAGAGAATATCTAGAAAATTGGCCTGATCTGGTAAAATATTGCGGCTACCGAGAGGACAACATTCCACAGCTCCAAGACGTCAATATGTTTCTTAAAAGTAAGATAGTTTACTAAAATTATATTAGAAAGAGTGTGGTATTATCGGTAGCTTACGCCTTACAAGTAATCAAGCTACGACGCGACAGTCTGATGCGCTCCGAGAAGAAATTCACCGTTTAATATGACTTACTTTACAAAATCGTTGGTTCCTTTTTTTTTAACCAGGCAAAGTTATCAAATGAAGTAAATAAGTCCAAGCATGGTCACGGTCATTAATATAATAATGAATAGAAAAGTAAAGAGCGATATCAAAACCGCATTAAGTATGCTAGTTCAATAGGATCATGGCAGCATACAATGTAGTATGTAGTCTTCTAATCGTGGTTCATGGCGCAGTAAAGGCATGGAAAAAGATCCTCACAGTGCATAAGAATACATGCGAACGGTGGTTTACGCCACCCCGCGCCGTTAAGCATTTACCGTTTTCCATCTTGGTACGGTAGATACAACTATTCGTGCTCCAAAGATGGGTGTATTGCAGATTCAATCATTTGAAGGCACGTCAAATTAGAATTATAATTCTTATTTTAGTCTTAATTTTAATTCTTTTTCTTATATTAGTCTAAATTTTACCTTTAATTTCCCCCCAATAATTTAAAGACTCCCAATTTACGAAAGAATCATGATGGCGTGTCTAGGGGCCGTCAATACACTACTCAAGCTACTTCTTTCAATTTTTTTTAACCATCTCCCCCTCATGGGCACTCCAAGGCGACTCTTACCCCTCCCCCCCCTTCTAAAACTTACTCAAATCCAGACCAACACTTCTCCCTTCCATGGCGCGCCTCTACCGCGCCGTGATGTGTGAGGAAAACTAAAACGCCTTCAAATTATTGAATCTGCAACACAGCCATCTTTGGAGCACGAATAGTTGTATCTACCGTACCAAGATGGAAAACAGTAAGTGCGTTACGGCGCAGCTTGGCGAAAACTACTGTTCGCATGTATTCTTATGCACTGCGAGGATCCTTTTCCATGGCTTTACTCTCTATTATGATAAGTATCTACGTCAAGAAAGCTACGAACGGATCTTCGCATTTCGAAGTTCCCTTTGTATACGGCCTCTCTTATATATCTGTATGTTCCCACTTCGTACGCTGGAGTGCAGCTTTGACGCAAAAATACCAAAATTGTAGATCCTCGGAGATCAATTTTCAACATTTTTAAGAGATAATTTTGTTTTGACACCTTCATGTTTCAGGTAAAACTGGATTTCAGTTGCGGCCTGTGGCGGGATATTTGTCACCGAGGGATTTCCTGTCTGGTCTGGCATTTAGAGTCTTTCACTGTACTCAATACATTCGTCACTCTTTGGATCCTTTTTATTCACCTGAGCCGTAAGTTCTTTAAGTTCTTACGATACCTAAAACCATCCGGCCTAGCCTAAAGAACAAGACACTCTCACGAGGATGCATGTAGATATGATGTCTCAAGTATACTGAGAATTTTCCCCCAATAATTTAAAGACTCCCAATTTACGAAAGAATCATGATGGCGTGTCTAAGGGCCGTCAATGCACTACTCAAGCTACTTCTTTCAATTTTTGGAACTATATATCCCCTCATGGGCACTCCAATGCGATTCTTACCCACTTCCCCCTCCTCTAAAACTTACTCAAATCCAGTACCAATACTTTTCCCTTCGATGTAGGAGGGAGGGTGTAAAAACATGCGCTACTTTTTTAACTTTTTGGCACAATGCGTGAAGTAGGTATTGCTACAGTCTTGTGGGCGCTAAGTATGCGTTTCACTTTCACGTCGACCGCTGCGGGCCGCATTGTGTTTGACGCAATGCGTGAAGTATTCATGCACTCTTGTAGGCGCTATGCGTTTCACGCTGATCGCACTGTGTTTGACGCAATGCATGAAGTATCTATGCAGTTATGTAGGCGCTAATATGTGTTACTTGCCGACCGCCGCGCCGAGGGCTTCTCCTTTTCATCTCAAGTCATCGTCATCATCGCTCTCTGCACCGTACCGCTCCAAGCCAAATTGCGTGTTTGGTTTTTCTCTTAACTCGACTAATTAAAGATGCTGTCTCTTGCATCACCGAAAGACGACAAAATTAGAAATTACCATACTCTCAGGAGATGAGAGATTTTGTCGCCTTTCTTCGTTTTCCGAATCCGATTTTTTTATACCTATATTTTAAAAAATTGCGAAATTTGCCGACATGGGCCGCGGCCCATGTGGCCACCGCCTAAATCCGGCCCTGTTGGCTATCCAACTACGGGTCAACACTCTGGGCTAGAACACAAAAATTTAAATGAAAACAATATATCCACCAATATTTGTGTCGAAAAAAGGATTGAGACTTTAAACTTGTACTCTGCTCCCCGAGTTCCGCTCACGTATATCCCCTGATAAAAATTGGCAGTACCTAGAATCTGTGTTCCAAAATACCATAGACCTACAGCCGGCTGTAAGATTTCCAATAGCTTCTATAGCCGGATACACAATTTCTTATAGCCATTTATAGCCGATGGCGATTAAGCAACAGCCAGGCGATAAAGTGTATGCTAAACTTTACTAATTACGGATGCTAGGACTTGGTGAGTTTTTGGAATACTGCTCTCTTTTTGGACCGTAGTATCTTGATTTATTTTGCGAGGAAAGCTCCGTAGGTACTTTTGATGGATGCCTGCCATTACTAATATATTAGAGCGCCTTCAGTTTCGTATGATACTGTGCAATACCTCTGGTATGAAATAGTTGCTTCAAGCGCCGTGGCAGGCGGGCAGCCAGCGTAAAACACGTATTGGCGCCTACAAACCTAACAGGGATACTTCACGCGTTGCGCAATGCGTGAAGTATCCCTGTTAGGTCTGTAGGCGCCAGTGCGTCGCCGCTCCGCTTTGTGTTAGGCTCTAATATTTAATCTGGCGGAGTCAGCGTTTTTCAACTCATGATTTTGAAATATTTTCACATCCTGTATGGATTATTCTCATTTTAATAATTGATGAAAAAAAATATGTATTAAAGGAAAATATAATGTGTGTTTTGTAAATATTAAGGTGGTTCCGTATCAAACTTAATGATTTCCAAAGCACACGAATTTCTACACAATTTCTTATAGCCTTTTATAATCGATGGCGATAAAGTGTAAGGCCCGGCGATAAAAACTATAGCCCGGCTGCATTAATTTTTTATCGCTTCGCATAGCCCGGCCGTATGATTTTCTCCACATTCTACAGCCAGCTATATGATTTTCTGTAGCCTTCTTTAGCCGGCTATAAGAATTCCTATGGTATTTTGAAACGCAGCTCTTATCGCCAATTTTTACCAGGGTCACGACGATGCATACCTAAGTAAGAATATACACCTGACGAAAAGTTATTTTATTTGTTCATATTTTGTGACAAACAGGATTCACTTAGAGCGTGAAAAATTGTCCAAAGGTGCATTTCTGATGCTCTTTCGGGCTACTTACATTTTGCAACAAGGGACTTTTATTATCTTTTCATACATAAAAACACCTATCTGCAGGGAGAAGCTGATAGCACAAATGTTGTTTCCTAAATTAAGTAGACATTAAGAAAAGCTGCTTGACGCACATTGTATCCACTTGCCTGGCTTCCACCTGATTCAGTCTCCCCAGTAGCATGGGTTTTAATACGTTTGAACGTCGATCATTTGAATGTGGCAACTTGTAGGTTGTACTGCAAATTGCTTATTCTTCTATTTGAGGGCGCGGAAATTATTGCGGCATGTGACAATGAAGCCGCAACTTTATGTTGCTGCTTGCCTATATTACTATTTAAAGGATCGCTCTGAGGTCGCTGCAAGTTGTAACCATGAGGTGTAGATTTTCAGGCAACATGATTCAAACTTAGGAAGTTCTTAAAAGTGCAAATTTTTGAAATCGTGCCCCAAAGTTCAAGCTTTCCATTTATCAATTATTTCTATTTTCCTTATTTATTTATTTTTTTAAATTCATGCAACATCAATGATTTGAGAATGTTTGATAGGTACCTAATTTTAAAACAATCGATTTTCTTTTTCTTGATAAACAGTTTTTTTTTCACAACTTGCAATAATCTTTTGATTTACAGAGATTGCTGTCATGAGTTGCTAGGACACATGCCTTTGCTAGCGAACCCTTCTTTTGCTCAGTTTTCACAGGAGCTTGGTCTGACATCACTTGGAGCCTGCGAAGAAGATATTCAAAAACTCGCGACGGTAAAACTCTATTTTCAACTCCTTAATCCATAGAAATTGTTGCGAATTTTAAATTGAAAGGTTTTTATCATAATTTATTTTCATGGAGGAAGCAGGGGAGGAACTGAAGGCCACCAAAATTAATTAGAGATCGAAACTGTTAAAATTAATTTCTCCCAAAATATTGAAGTATGAGAAAAAATGTTCCAACTTTAGAATGTCATAATGACACCTACCTACATGCGTTGATGTAAACCATGATTGTGAAGTTTTCTGACAATAATAGCACCATAAAACAGGTAGCTCTATTTGCAAAATTACAAACTTTCTGTTGGTACTTTAAAAAATGACCTACGATTGGTAGGTCCACAGGATACAAAAAGAAAATAGATTTTGATTTTATTGTTGCTGAGATGTAGGTTAAAGTTTGCTTCCATTTCAATTTAGTAAGTTAACAGTAAATAAATATTTGAGGAAAAAAAATCGTAAAAGAACAAAATTATTTTGCTCTTTTCAAATTATACAAAAAATGACTTTTACCAGATCTCCACTCTAATTATAAATGAAAACTTCTTGCTTGAGATTTCATGAAAATAGCCAGAAAATTTTATGATAGGTAATAGTGTATGAATTTCATGAAAACCTAAAATATAAATTGCCACTAAATCTTTTGGAAACCAAATCAGATATGACCCCTCCACTGCAAAGTTTTGGTTCCGAGTTCCATTTCATTGGTTCACATCCCTGAAGAGCAATACAAAATTATGTGTACTTTTCTTTGTCTCTACAAAAATATTCTCTGGATACATCATAAAAGAACGTTCATAATTTACCAGTCCCTCAAAAATAATTTTCACAGAAATTTTGCCTCTACCTTCATTTGTTTCAGTATAAATATAGACTGTTCTCAGGAAGAACTTGATGTGAAAAATTGAGTTAGATTTTGGTAATGATTGAATTTTGCAGCTGTATTTCTTCACGGTAGAGTTTGGAATGTGCAAGCAAGAGGGAGAACTGCGCGTTTATGGTGCCGGACTTTTGTCGAGTGTGGCTGAGCTGAAACATGCCATAGAGGCCACTGATAAGATCAGACGGTTTGACCCTGACATCACAGTCCATGAAGAGTGCATTATAACATCATACCAAAATGCCTACTACTACACGGATACATTTGAGGAGGCCAAGGAAAAGATGAGGTGAGGAATAAATAGAAGCATAAGTTTCAATGTATAAATACAGACACCCTTCTCGAATTCTTCTTGTAATATAAAAGTAAAATTTGCATAAAAAAGGAGACAAGCCTCCCCCATTGTCTATGGAAAAAGTTCTCTGTTCCTCTTTTGTCGCCACTCTGAGTACTTAGGTGCACGCCAACATTTTAGGAGTTCGATGAATTCTAATTAGGTCTATTGCTCTGAAGTCAGCTCTGAGGTCATTTTCATAATTCAAATTATTTACTGAAGAAAAATAATGGCTGTTCAGTCTTGGGATCAATATTTTGAAAAGTCTTAGTATGAGTGCTGCATACTGAGATATCGAAGACTCGTCCATTTGGACTAATTTTTCCTGCAGAGGAAAAAATTATTTTTGAAAAATCAACAAATATTTAAAAACGTAAAATGGAGTTGTGTCTTACAGTCCTAAATACGAGTGTTATTCTCATTTCAACCACCACATGGAATAATTACATCTTTGGAGAGCGTACAATAATATTTCATTGCAAAAACAAGATGTCTTTGTCCATTTCAGACTCAAAATAACTGTACTTTGCAAAGTTTTGCTTATTTTTAAAAATCGAGAAAAACTGAAACAATTTAATCCATCTGAAGAAAGGAATGAAGAAATTCACATTTAACGGCTGCGATCCAGGATTTCAAAACTTAGATAGGGTTTTCAAAGAAATTAAATGCATTGCTACTTACATAAGAAATAAAAATTTAATTGAGCATAAATCTCTACAGGAAATGCTTTATAGTTTAAAATAGGATCACAGAAAAGTTAATACGTACTAAGTGTTCTTTATCCTTACACAAATGATAGCCATTATAATTTTCCAAATAATTCAATTTTGGCAACATACTCTTGTTCAAAGATCATACGGTACAGAGATAATTGAAATATAAAAATCTCACAAAATTGGCTGCAGTAAATTTGCTGCTTCAGCAATGAAGTCCTTAATTTTTTTTATGAACCTCTCCACCGATCAATATGTACAATCATAATTACATAATTACATCTGGCTCACAATTCAACTATTGACCATGTTCCACTTTCTTGAATACTACAAACATAATTGTACTTTTTGTAACTGTCTAAGTCGATTAGCCATTTTTAGGAACAATAAGATATTGACTTGGATCCTGTCAAAACACAAATGGAAGTCCTTTTTCCCATGCTTTCAGGGCATTTGCTGGGAGCATCCAGCGACCGTTTGGTGTACGTTACAACCCTTACACGCAAAGCATTGAAGTGCTGAGCAACACGCAGAAGATTGCAGCACTTGTATCAGAGTTACGTGGTGATTTGTGCATTGTAAGTAACGCACTGCGCAAGATCCATGCTGAAGAGGAGACTGTTGAGAACTTGACCAGCATGCTTCAACATGGTATTCAATTGTCCCCGAACATCTCGCCTCAACTTTCTCCAGAACGAGAGGCTGAGAAGAAACTGGGTATCCAAGAGACAGAGAAGAAAAACTAACTTTAAGATGCAGCTTAAGAGCCAGTTGGAGATAGGACAAAAATAAAATCCACAGTAAGAAATGCAATTCATTGAACCAAAACCTATAAGTTGAGAGGACTCTACAACGATTTTAAAAAAGAACAACAAACATGACCTTTAGAGAGATTTGTCAAATTTTCTTGATAAAGAACCAATAAATAATGGGAATTAAATGAGCAATTCTGAAGTGCGTGATACCATTCTCATCCCTTCTCAGAGCTCAGAAATGTCGAATGGTGGATTTTTGTTTGGCCTTGCACGTTTCAGTTTGTACAACACAACTACGACTGATTCTATCAAAATCAAAATTGTAAAACCAATAACACCATATGTGTCCCTTTCAATCCTGCTGACAAGGTCAAATTGCTACTTTTTTGTTGCTTTGCATCCTCAAAGATATATCAGAGAATAATCCATGTGGACAGCCAAACTTCGAACCAATTCAGCTAAAAGAAGTAACTTAAGTAAGTGGGGAAGGGGGGAGGAGAAAATTTTAATGCAGATAAAAGTCTGCGTCGACTAGATATTATGATTAGCAGAGAACTATATGATAGTTGAAGCTTGGAACGTTAACGTTGTTTTATGCAAAAAGTATATTGTTAAATAAAGTATTTATTTGAAGAACAGTTTTGTTATGAGTGTTGTTTATCTCCGGTACCTTTCTCGGAATTATAGGCAAAGATACTTGCTGGGCCAAAAGCCAAGCAAGATACTATGCAATTCGGTAGGAACTTAAGAAAATTGGTAGATGGTGCTCTCTTAGTCAAACGGTTATTAGCCTAAGGTTAGGCAGAAAGTAAATGAATAGAAAGCCTTGAAAACCTTGAAATTGTTAAAGGTTTACTGTACGAAATTCAGCTTTCCATAAAAGAAAATTACAACATTTCAACACAAAGCAAAATTTGACATGACTTGAAAGAACTCACCAGAGCCTTAGATATCAACAATCATGCGAAATTTAAGTTTGCTTCATCAAACCGCTCAAAAATTACTGCGTGTCCTTCTTTCTCATATTCCTCTTTTGTAACAGCATAGTTGTAAAATTTTGGATCTTTGCTGAATAAAACACCTCCATGCCATGCATACGTCACTGGGCTGAAACAGAAAACAGGATAAGCATGAATATGCAAACTATGATACATTTTGTACCGGAATCCCTTCAAGTAAATTGTTCATAAAAACTTTTAAAATTATGGAAAATGGAGATCAATTGCTTTGCTTCGTGCAAAAATTGTAGATGTTTCTAAATCCTTAAATTGAAAAAACTGCAAAAAATGGATAGGTAGGCCTTTTAATCGACAGAGCAAGTGGAACTGAATGGCTAATCATTATGATAATGAATTGGAGGAATGGGTCTCTATTACATAAACCGGGCATGAAGTGTTTTCACCCAATTTGGACATGGTCAGTTCTGAAGAATTCCATACACAGATTTTGAAGGACGATGTTTATTTAAAATTGACAAAAATGTATGTATTAAATGACAGTATCATGAGAGAGCTTTGACAATAAAAGGAACTCAAAAGAAACCTTAATGTTGAAATGGAAATCAGCTTTTTTCACATGATTATTAGAGCTGGGGCACGGTCTCTTCTCCACCAAAAGGGGCACAAACCCCAAAACATATATTTTCCCCCGTATTCATGGATGCATCTAATTTCCGAGTCTTCAGCTCTAAAAATCTCGAGATTGGAAAATATGGACTTTCGCAATTTCAAGAACCGATTTGGCTACTAGTCAACAATTAGCTACCAGTCCTTTATCTTCCAGATCAATTTTTTTTCTTCTTTTCCATATAAAAGTTTTACACTAAAAGAGTCTTCTTCTACTAAAAAGAAAAAGCTCGGAGTAGTAGGTCTTTGTGACGACATCATGATGGCTACTTATTACCTTGTATTAGTTGTGATCCGATTAATGAAAACTCCTTTTATTAATTAGAGCTGCTTCAATTTTTGGCAGAGGAGAGTATCAATGGACAGGTAAAAGCAAATTACATTTTTCATGGGTTAAAAAAATCAGATAAATTCTACTTCAAATAGCAAAGCATTACTAACTAAAGGAAAATAACTCCAACTTACTTGTCTGGTACTGTCACTCGTACTTTGCAGTTATATGGTGCCATGCTCCTAACATCATTATAGACTCTTGTTTTAAAACCCGGGAATGCAGCACAGCCTCCTGTTATTAGAATGTTGTTGAATAGATGGGGCTGAGTTTCTTCTGGACAAGATTTGATAACTCTGACAATTGCTTCTGGAATACCCATTTGATTGATTCCCAAATCCGACGGGTGGAACAAGACTTCAGGCACAGAAAATCGCTCGATGTTCAATCGAATGGTTTGCTGGGGGGAAAAAATTCAATAGATAAGTAACTCAATTTGCCACTGAGTTTGTGCATAATAGAGAGAAAATGAGAACTTTCATGGATTCAGCAGCCAAGAATATAGGAAGAAACATTTATTGTAGGTCCAACGGACTCTTCTGCTGTTTCTGATAACAAAATTGTTCCAGTCAAATGGCGCATTCCACCTATATACCATCATTTCTATGTTTGGCGTCTAAAATGTTCTTAAGTTTTCTTCAATCACCTACCAGTTTTTTGAAGAATCCAAAAAAATTACCATTATATTTTAATTTCCAAAAAAAAACATGACTTCTTGGAAGAATGGATTTTTTTGGAAACTTAGTACATGGGTGATAGAAAAAACTATAACTATTTTCTGCTTTGGCAACAAGAAGAGAGTGACTGGATATAGTTTGATTAGACACCTGGGAAGAAAAGAAAACTTTACTTGTTTTACTACTAGCATGCACAAATTCTCTTCACCTAAGTCCATTTTTCGATTTTCCTGAAAAAAGGGTAAAGGAGAAAAACTCAAGGTCATTTTCAGAATCAATTTACATACAGATCACCTGTCAAATGAATAGAGAAAATAATAAATTGCGGACCTGTGCAATGCGAGGTGACAGGAAAACATTTTGGGTTTCTCAATTGGTAGGGATTTTTTCAATTGTCCATGAAAGATAGGAAAATTTAGAATTAATGAGGAGATAGTTAGAAAATACTGATTAAATTCCTGGGACTAATATATGATACTAAAACAACTCACTTGATTACACTCTTCTTTGGAATCTAATGGTCGAATGTAGCCTCGTCTGATAGTCGTATAATCTGGTAAGGCATAATCTCTGACAATTGTATTCTCTGGGTACTTTTTTCTGGCGATTTCTACATCACGACTGAAGTCTTCAGATACAAAGCAGCAATCTTCCTTCACCTGGTTCATCACATATGTTTCATCCATAACATGGAGCTGTCTGTCAGATAAAAGCAAGAGAAAACCAAATTTTGCGATGATTTAAATACAAGATACTGATAGAATTTTTAAGGAAATCCTGCTCCAAATAAGTCGAAATTCTTTCGAGAAAAAATTAAACTGACTCATGCGACAACATCCAATGTCCAGTACATTGTTTTAGAATTCCTATAGAAGTATAAATTACTAACTAAAGTTGGTCTAAGATGTCAGAGATTTAGAATAATTTTATTTAAAGTCTTGCAAATTTAATTGGAATTAAAATTATAATAAGCACATCAACTTTGTTGATTAGCATTGTAGGGAAAAATAAATTATTACAATTCTGAAAAAATGTAATGGACATTGGATGTATTTGTAAGACTGAATCAATTTGAAAACGGGCAAACCTGCACACTTTTTGCGTTTTAAAAACTGCATGCAAATTGACCTTTTCCGATTTTTGGAATGATTGATGTATAAGGTTGTCAAGATTTGATACAAATATTTCCAAGTTATTAAAGAACTTTTTATCAAAACCAAAAAGTTATTTGTATCACTGTAATGAGTGGTCTGCTCAGCATGTGCTTTTTTGCAAAATGGACATTCATAGGAACCGCTTTGGTGTGAACTTCAGAAGTACCTTCATTCATTCTCTTAGGCTCAATGGAAACAATTCGTTATAATTATTCAAACTTTGACACAATGAGCGCAGCCCTTGAAAACCATTTTGAGAACAACTCAATTAAAATGACTGATTTTAATATTAGTAGATTTAAACTGATTGCAAAAGTACAACTGTGTCCAAGAGGAACAAAATTCTGACTGAAAATTGTTGATTTAATTTTGATCCACTTTGATTGACAAGGGGAGGAAAGAAAAATTGCCACCTACATTTTAATGACCAGAAGAGTCTTTTTACAAAACTATCGGATCGAAATGATACCGTTTTTGTGGATGGTCCTTGAAAGTTCTGAACAAAAATTGAAAAAAAATTATTCAAGGAAGGGTCGATTCCTAAGCAATAGTATCATGTGCTCTTGCCTTATGTACAGGAATATAGAGCACTACCCATCAGCCCAGAAGTCTAGCGATCAATTTCCAGAATTACCCTTAATTCTGTTGTATGCATATTGAAGTTCATAGATTACCTGTAAGAGATGATTTCCTTTATATGGTTGGTCAAGATTTTTCCTCCAACATCAATACGGCGGATTTTGTTTCTTATTTTTTTCCCTTGAATATATGGGACGATGTGAGTAAAACTGTAGCCAGTTTCCACCAGCAACACACACAACGTACCAGGATTGTCATGATTGTAGTGATACACGCTTAAATCACCAGCTGGAAAAAAAAAATGTGCAGCAAGTTGATTATTTTTCTTGGAAAAAAGACAATTTAAATAGAGGCACACTTCTATAATTATTATGGATAGTATTTTCATGGTATGACAAAATTGTGATTAGACTTGACTTGCATTAAAATTTTATTTTCCAAATATGTATGTGTCATGGCCTCAATCCAGCCTCAGTGACAAAAAAATGGCAACGCAGTGTTACTAAGAACAGATTACAGTTTGACAAACGAGTTAGACACAAAGTTGGTAATTTTGCCAAGATGCAATGAAATTCAGTATAAAACTGAAAATCTCATTACAGGAGAAGGAAAATTATTCTCGAATGAGCTTCCTCCTTCTGTAATGATATTTTTAATTTTATACTGCATTATAAAACACATTGAGCACCCTCGACATTTTAGGATTTTCTTGGTGAGCACAGTCACTGAGCTTTCTAAAAGATTTTTAAGGGCATCTCTAAAAATGAGTACTAACCGTTGACACGGAGAAATGACTGACACTCATACTCTTCGAAGAATATTTCACTCATGGCTTCCTTGATAGGATTAAAGTTGAAATACGGTTCTGTGATGATGACTGGGCTTTCACTGAAATTGGATGGACAACAGTCATTGCTTAGAATGTAATCCCACACTGTCTTCTGCACGTCCCAATTGACCAGATATCCCTGAAAGGAAAACAAGGCCCTCAAGTAAACTGTTTATTTGTCATGAGGTTTTGTTTCCATTCCATATGTTTACAGGTAATGTTTTTGAATGTGAGAATTATGACAAAAAATATTCCAAATATGTTTTTTCCCAAAACATATTAAAAAAGATTAACAATTATTTCATTAATGGAGAATTTGCACGTGTCTGAAATTTGATGAATTTCGTGTTTAAATGGAAACTACTGAGTGGACTGAACACGAGGACACCCTTGGTTCATGAATTGAACAATGGACCACTAGACAAGGTACGAATTTCAGCATTCTGATGCATGTTTCTTCACCAAAATTTCACATAAAACACGATGCGCACAACGAAAATTACCGAAATCAACTCCTTCTAAAGACATTTTACGATTCTTGGAGCGTGAATTCAAACCACCCGCTCATGAAAACTCAATGCTCTACGTGATTCACATCGTGCGCTAAACGTTATCATGAACGTCTCTGCGATAAAAAAAATCTGGTAACCTCAATCTTGACACTTGGCTCAGCTATAGCGAATTACTTATAGTTTGAAAAATACATGGTGGAAAATGAACATTGCTCGATTGAGAAGCTTGCTGAAACCGTTGTAGTGCGCGATTTGACTCACGTAGAGCTTTGAGTTTCTTGTGAGCGGGCAGTTCAAAGTCCTCGTAACCAATGTGAAATAAAAATGTTATCATCTCCGTTAGGAGTTGGTTTCAGTAATTTTCGTTGCGCGCATCGTGTTTTACGTGAAATTCTAGTTAAGATACATGTATTAGAATGCTTAAATACGTACCTTGTCTAGTGGTCCATTATTAGAGAAGATATGACAAAATTATCTAATCTGCTAAAATACGTGTCTTTAAATGGGAAATGCCACCAGATGACATCACTAGGCGGTGCATTTTCTCGCCTTTAAGTCTATTTTTATACTAGGTATTTTCCATATCAGAAAAAAATTATAAAAAAATACTGTGAAATCAGTTCTTTAGGCACTTTCAGATGAAGCATTAAAAAATTTGCATGCAAATTCTCTATTGAATAAAATTAATCTCTCAATTAATCGGCACAATCAGATCCAAAAAGTTTCAAGTTATTCAATTACTTCATGCGATCCTATTTACAGTGGTCTGCTGGAAAATAGTTACGGTGAATAATTCTTATTTAGTGTTAAAAAATTCATTATGCATTTTGTTTTTATAATATGAGGTATGTAATTATGCTATGATGATGACTAGCAAGTCGAGAAGTCCTTCGGAATAAGACAGTTAAATTTACAACACTTTGGTTTATTCAATCTATTACTCACTAATTAATTATTCAAAATAAAAATTGTTACAGTGGTCTATCCCTCGATGCAAATATGCCTGGATTGGCTCAGTGTGGATGGATGATAATTTATTAATCTTTCCATCAAAAGAAATTCGTGTCCAGAGCCCATGACCTAGGGTCAGACCCTCTAACCACTAGTGCGACCTGGCCAGAAACCAGAGCTTATTTTGCAAACTTTAGATCTTTTGCACAAACTGAATTCTATTGGTGATTTAAATCTGACTGATCATCATTTTTCCAATTTTTTCTTGTGAAATGAATATGAATAAGTACGACTAGAGTTTCCAGTTAGGAAATTTAAAGATATTTTGAATTCATACTTACTTTCGTAAATGGTAATATGTAGAATAAACCTGAAGCATCCCTGCAATCTTCAATTTGATTACCGATAAATGGCCTCTGTCTTTCACTTTTTGCTTTCATTATGCAGTTGGGAATGATTCTGCAAGAAAAAAAAAATTAATTGATTGTGGTAGGAGGTTCTGAACATTTCAAATGAGTTTTTTCCATTTATATTGCCCTACAGTCGTCCAATGTGTAACAAAGCTGAGTTTCATTAGTGTCACTGCCAGATACATTTATGCACTTTAAAGTGCAACAGAAGATTTGCTAGATCTTCCGATCGACATTGAGACTGTATGCAAGAATCAAAATAATAGATCTTTTAGCTTGCTATAAAAGTGCATGAATTTATCACAGAGTACATACTTAGAGTTGTAATGTAAGTGGGAGAGCTGGCGCCACTTCCCAAGTAGCAGAGATTGAGATAAATAGTGGTTTTATCGGTTGGTTATCGCGATTATATCGGTGGCAATATATCGAGATATTATCGCATTAAAAAACGCGATGTATAGCGATTAAAACTTTATACATCGCAACTTTTGGTTTGATCATAGTTGTGTTTGATTTTCGTTGATAAAATCGAGATTAAATCGCTATTAATCACCATTTTTATTTTTGTACGAAATTATTCACGATAAATTGTCGGGCAATAAAAGCACAATTTTATTGCGATAAGATAGAGGATAATCGCTCAGATGTTGATGATCCTGGCGATTTATCGCCGGTAAAATAGCAATATAAAGCAATTTTTCCATTGAGAAATGCTACTTGGGTTTAAAGCATTTTCCAGGTTCCGAATTCCGAGGCTTCTGTGTGACGCTGGGTCACATTTTCATTACATGATTGATTGTTTTCGATACACAGGTACCCTGTCATCCGATGTAAACAAAGAAGATAGGAATTACCACATATTCCGCACCGCCATTTTGGATCAAACGAGTATCGATAAAGTGACCAAGGCTCGACGCACACTGGGCTCGGAACTCGTCGTCAGCTCTCCCATTTACATTACGACTCTATGAACTCTATGGAATTTATTTGGCATAAACTCTACTTATAGTAAGCTGAAGAAGAAGCTTTTTCTAGATAAACGTTGCGAATGTCTGAAGGCATTCCTCATAGAATTTGAGACCTTTCATCTGGCGACAAGAGACACCAGACACCAGTATTTATAAGTAAGACAAGAATAGAAGCTCAAGAGAAGAATAGGAAAATAGGTGATTTCTTCTTCTAAGTGGGAATATTTGAATTAAAAATAAATTATCTCCGACGCTATGTTGAGAAACGACAGAAAGAGAAGATACATTTACTAAGGAATAGTTGTCACTATTTAGCAACAATTACTTCGAGATCCAACCTCGATACACACATGAGAGCAAATATAAGTAATTGCGGCTGGAAAACCTGGGAAAAATCGATTTTAAAGATGCATTTCAAAACTAACTTTGGTTCTTCATGGCAGGAAAGACCAACTTTAGCTGAGTACGCTCCATTGTCCAAAATGTATGCATTGTCAATCATCTTCAAAGAGTGAGGATTTCTTCGTGGTTGTATAAAGAATTCACTGACACTAAAAAACGACAAATTAGTATTTATAAAATTGGAAACGTTCTGATGTCAAAGAATCAACCCGGCTTGCAGTAACGTTCAAATATGTAAACATAACCTCAAACAAGTTGGGAACGCTCGCCGCCAATAGTAATACGGTGCGCATGCGCCATGTAATTCTTGAATGAATCATTAAAAATTAAACGGACCAATGAGAGACAACTCATCGTAGTATACTATGCGTAGTATTTTGCAGTGCATGTTGCCAGATCGAAGGAGTAAAAAACGATACACTCTTCTGGACCGTGAAACATGGTGGCTTCTACACTCTCTGGAAGGTTTACCCAAGATTTCGATAGGAATTTTGAAATTTCTCGTTTTTGCCCTCGATGACTGATGTTCTCTTTCTCGCAGTTTCATCTGGATCAAAAAACCTGACAAGCAAATAGACAATACCCCACCCGCAGCCCCTTTTTTCTGCAGACAACTGTTCTTTGAGAGATCCTCTCACGCATATTACTGGAAAATCGGATCCGTTATTTGCGATAAAAATCATCACTTTTTCCAGTTAAGTATTTCATAATATTAAGACCTGACCCTGACACACTCAAAATTAAATTCGCTTATAGAAAATCAAGCGATAACTCACTCAACACTTCCCTGAAAATGTTAAATGGCCTTTTCCGATGTAAAACTTAGTTCACAAGTGGTTTTTCCTGCTCCTTTGAATTTTGGACGTATTACCTAAGTAACCATATCAACCGATTCGTTGGTTCCTTTTGTCCTCTTCTATCCTTGTCTTGAACGACATAAAAACTAGACACGTACTGTCTAAAAAATATAGTATCATTAGTTTTCCTTTAAGTAATAAGAATAAGGCCAAGAGAATGAGGGAAATTGATGCCATTTTTGGGTGTTTTAGGCTAAGACTTATCATTGGGGAGCAATGTTAATCTAGGAACATGTTGAATACAAACCTGCTACAGTAGTCATGTTCGATTTTTGAATACAAAATAGCTAAGTAGGTACCTATTTAATTGCAGCCTATTGCTATGAGATTGCGATTTTTAACAACTAGTGTTTTGGACTATATATTCATCAACCAATTTTTGAATTTTGAATAGCTACCTACTTAATTCCCATTTATCACTGTCCAATTCTTCTTTTTAAAAACTCCACTACATGGGTCTCCTTGAAAATTTTAGTAAATACCTATCTTTGAATAAATGATGAAAACTCATGAAAAATTTCAAGAAAAACTGTCCATTAGTTTTCATTTGAAAAATATAACAAGAGCAGAGACTTGCATTAAGATTAAGAAATGCAAATTTTTCAACTTCAGACCTTTTTGCTTAGTACATCAAGGCACTATCCGATTCGGGCACACTTTGAATGCCTTTCATGGCTTTTATTATTTTTGATTACATTTTTTCCTCGTTTCCTTTTCTTTTTCAATCTGGTTAGTACAACTGGATATTATGATGAAATAAAAAGTGAATTTTTTAACTTTTTTCCAGACAGAAACAATGCACTTTTGCTGCCTTTATCAGATGTGCAGAGCCTTCAGGTAGTTCTAAAGAAGTTGATGCAAGGCAGCAAAGGCATCTGTCTTCTCTTTTCAGCTGGCATGCAGCAAGGAGAAGAGGCCTCTCCTTAAACACCAAGATTTTTACTGCAAGCTGCATTTTGGAGTGGTAAAAATTCACATTCCAGACCTGCTTTTTTCGAATTGGGTGCATTAAAAATGTCATAATGACAGCTCATTCAGCTGAGAAGGTTACATGGAAAACAACAGTATACAATAAAAAAAAGAAAAAGAAAAAATTCAGCCAACGTCAAATTCCTCTATTTTCTGTGCATGATCCCTTCAACACAGAATTGAATGAGGTAATTAAATTTAAAGATTATGATCAAATATTACTCAGCACCAAAGGAGTTTTGCACAATTCACTTGCCGCTTTACTCTCGGACTGCTTTGAAAATTGTAATTATCAAAATTTGGGGGAGGGGGGGTGAGGTATATTAAAACCCCAGCACTTTAGAAAATGAAAATTTACTAGACCCATTTTTTTCAAAATACATACAATGACAACAACAATAAATACAATTAGAAGTGATTCATTCTTGAACGCACATTTAACTTAAAGGTACTGTAATATATTTACATCATAATTTACAAAAAAGTAATGTATTTTTTTTGTGATATTTGTGAAACATATGATACAAATTCATATGAGATGATACATTGGCTTAATTTTACATGCATCTACAGTGTTCTTTGAAGCAAGATGAGATCTTTCTACATGATAACCAGAGAATGCAATAACTAATTCAATAATCTTCCNGGGGGGGGTGAGGTATATTAAAACCCCAGCACTTTAGAAAATGAAAATTTACTAGACCCTTTTTTTTCAAAATACATACAATGACAACAACAATAAATACAAATAGAAGTGATTCATTCTTGAACGCACATTTAACTTAAAGGTACTGTAATGTATTTACATCATAATTTACAAAAAAGTAATGTATTTTTTTTGTGATATTTGTGAAACATATGATACAAATTCATATGAGATGATACATTGGCTTAATTTTACATGCATCTACAGTGTTCTTTGAAGCAAGATGAGATCTTTCTACATGATAACCAGAGAATGCAATAACTAATTCAATAATCTTCCTGTCCGTGTAGAAAACAATTTTAAATCAGATCCCTCAAGTGGCCAGGAGGAGAGGAACACATTTCTTTATTTTTGTTATAACCTGATGGCCATTCTTAACTGGTTCCAAACTTTAAGAATCAATTATGAACCTTATAAACTTGCGGAAAAACCCTCCAGTTGCATCAAGCATCACACGTTGCCCACAACAAGTGAATTCATTTGGATATTTCTTAAGAGAGCAAGGTCACGTGCTGTCGTCTTCCTTCCCATAGGTGTGTTTAAATCATACAGCTGAAGGATCAAATTAGTCGTGAACAGTTCTGGAAGAGCACACATCAGCTTTGGTATCTAAAAAAAAAAAATAAAACAAGGTTACAAAAAGGTAATGAATAAACATTAATAATGGATGAGTAGTACTGAATAAATCAATGAATCATGAAAATTTCTACAGTAAATTTTGCTACAAAGGGTAGATTAAAATATATTCCTGAAAATGATAAGGGAAATTTTTCGTCGATATTCGATCTGTATTCTCTGCGTAGATTCTGAACAAAACTACTGATGTGACATTTCAAATTTTTATTGGTAAACTGCTGCAAAAATAGGGTAAAAAGGGCAGACACATTGGTTAAAAATGCAGTGAATGTAAGTACTCGGTGATTTGGATTTTGATAGATCCCTAACAACAACTACAAGGCTCATCCTGATGGTAAGTTTAGTGATTTTACATGTTCCAAACTATTGCAGACAGAAACAATTGGTAAAAGGCATCTGAGAGCCTTGAACTCAGCTTTCTACAAAAATGCAGAACACGGAATTTGGTTCATATGAACTTTAAAAAAGTGAATTTTACTGAACCTATCACCTATCTCCTGTTCATGAGGGTACGAAAAAATCAGAGTAATTGGTCAGCATATAAGCTGCTGTATATACTGCTTATTGCAAGTAAGTGACTTAAAAATTGTTGAACTAACTGTAAAATATAATATGATACAGCACATTGTACATCTAAACAAATTCAAATTGATAACGTTCATTTTAATCATCACTTGCTTCTTGATTGCAATTAAGTCAAAAACTGTCATTGACCCCTTGCTTGCTGGCTGAATCGTTCATTAGATCTCACATTAGCTCGCTACTTTACAAAAAATTCTGTCCACAATGCACTTTGAACGTAGTTGAAACATTGAATGCTCTAGTCAACTTTTATGCTTGAATGATAAATGACAGAGCACAATTCACACGCAGAAATACAATTTTGCCGCAAGACTATACAATTTGCAGTCGAGATCTACTGATTGGCAAATAAAATAGAAATATGGCAATATTTTAGCAAATAAATCAAAATTTACTCACCAAATTATTTGGCATGTGCTCCAAAACAATCTTGGACCTCTGTTTCCCACATAGGACGAGTGATTTAATAAAAGCAAAGACAAAATGTGTTCGCTGAGAGACACAACTCTGGGCTGAGATGAATGACAGGCTTTTGAATAAGATCTGCAATGCCTCTAAAAGCGGTTCTTTTATTGGCGTATGCGTGTCACTGGATGATGAAGATTTTGACCCGTTAAGAAAACCAAGAGAGCTATCACTGCCTTGTGAGGATTCCATTCCATTGCCTAGTCGAAGAATCTTATTTGTAGGACACAGCTCTTCCTCTATGTCCTATAAAAAAATTGAAAGAATGTGAGTTTTGTATAAATACCCAACTTGTACATTTTATTCTACAAAGAGACGAAACGGGATATTCTCCTTCGAATTTATAGCTAAATTTGGCCGGGTGCTCAGTTCTGCAGAACCATCTTTGAGAATCAGTATCATTCGGCTTCACTTTAAAGAACTTCGACATGAAATCAATGATTAACAACTTGGTAAAATTAAAAATGTTATGCCCCTAAAACAGGGGGTTAGTTATTTGTTTTGTGGACAGAGAGGATGATTTATGTGATATAAAAGTAAATTGGCTAAATGTTAGGAGGGAAGCTTTGAAAAAATATGTAATGCTGAAAAATGTGAAGGTCATGAGAAGATTGCAGTACTTAAACTCCTCTTTAATTTCCTCATCGTCTGAATGTACCTTTAAAACTAAATCCAAAATCTCTAAATGGACATCAAGAAATGTATTCTTTGAAAATATTTCACTTAACAGGCAATTGGGGTCTTTATATGATGTAAATTTGGCCTCCTCCTTGTCTCCTGTAATCTGTAATACATCAGCAACAAAACTCTCTATTCCTTTGAAGTGTTGTACAATTTTAAAGGCAAATTTTGGCTTAAATCTTGTAGATTTTAGTCCAATAGATTGAATTTATTACAAATCGACGGTGAAACTACCAGACTACGTATCTTGTTTGTGGTATTTTAAAATCTCTGTTCCTACTTTTTTCTTTTGAAAGAACAAATCAGTATCAATCCTTAAAGCTTTCACAGAGTTTTCTTCACACAGAGAAGAAAAATCATGGAAGATTTTAAGAATTGACGTTGGGCAGTTTTCATTTTGAAAAATTAAATACGGCAGGAAGTTCGCAATGTTGCAAACTGAAATATGTTGTTTGGAAGTTTCACCGTCAATATTCAAGCAATATACTTACATCTGCTGCCTCCATTTCTTTCCGTGTTCTTTTCCTTGAGGAGCTTGCTTTGTTGCTTTGGGCCTGGATGGCAGCGTAGATACAGTAAGTACAAAGCTTGGCAACAGCAGAGGACTGAGGCTCAATGAACTCTTTACACCTAGAAAGCATTTGAAATATTTGAACTTAGTGATGAGGCAGATATTGTTTTCATTCATTTTACTTTATTGTGATTATAATGATAACTGAGTCAAGAGAATTGTACAAAAAATATTATTACACAAAACGATTCCCCCTCGAAAATTGTCAGCCCTACAGGTCATATTTTAATTTTTTAAGAGCCCCACAAATGGACCGCGCTTAGCAGAAAGGAACCAAGCCACATCAGCTATTGCCAAATTTAATCGGGCACTTTACTTAATTGCATTATTTACATTTACAACAACCATTTACATTTATTACATGAAAACGGTGGTGCGGATTTTTGTGGAAATTTCAGTCAATTTTCTTCATAGTACAAAGCAAATTCCTTATAATTTTCTAAGGCATCCGCACAAATGTTTTCTTGTAAAAAATTAAAGCGCCCAATTAAATATGGCAGTAGCTGATGTGGATTGGTTCCTTTCTGCTAAACCCGGTCCAAATAATGTAAGACATTAGGGTTCCCTGAGGTCAAAAGCTTTCTTTCTTTTGATTAAAATAATATCACTCGATTAAAATTGAGGGAAAATACATAAGAGTTACAGAGACTAAATTCAAGTTTCATTTCTAACAGTATGCCTTTGAACCGTAATTTGAACAAGCCTGAGATAAGATCCAGATACTTACTGCTTAACGCTGTGCAATAGATTTGTGACGTATCGCAAAAGATTGATGGTACATTGCTCAATATCTAAGTGAAAGATTGCAAAAATCATGTCAACTCCAACATTCAGGTTGTCTGAATATTTAAGTGTCATCAGTTCCTGTAACATTCAATAAGAATAAATTATAGACAAAATAAAATACAAAATGAAAAGATATGAAAACAAACTCACTTAAAACACTGCAATCTAGGCAACTTCTCATTTTCTTAGTAATAAGCTAATAACTCATTCTCTTAAAAGAAGCATTACGATGGGTAAGAAACAACATCACTTATCTTGCAACTGACGATTTAACAGGACGAAGAAAAAACCTCACCATTTTTATAATTTTGAGGTTACATTGACGATGATTTATATGCATTACAACATCATGCTAAATTAGAAAAAATTGAAAACATCAGCTTGTGTATTTTATACTGTAGAATACAGGAAAGTTGCTAGCCCAGTTTTGTCAAAATTTTTAGTTAGACGGTATTGATTCTTGGCTGTTTGAATGAATTTGTCTGGATTTTGATACATCCAAAACCATTAGGTGCTTGAAACTATTTTTTTGCGTTCTAAATAACTACACTTTAATTATCATTTTTTGAAAGGATAAATGGAGTATTTATTTTAAGAGATACTATGTGTAAATAAATTAAATCGAAAGGAGCCATGCATAACGTGAACCTGTGCACACACTTCCTTTTAGCATTGATCCGTCCAAAAGAAAATCTAAAACATTGATGATTGCAATTCTTAGAAATTTCAGACGTCTAGTGGATGTAAAGAAATAATTTTTAATGTATATGCTTACCACAATTAAATATCGAACAAGCCATTCTGAGCCACAGATGTAATATAAGCTGTTTAGGACACGTGTATCTTCAATACTGAGCCATCCATTCTCCATCATGTTGTCCCACACAATGTCCAACAGATCTTTCATTGGTCTTTTCCAAACCAATCTGAAAAATTTCAAAAGAGATCAAGAGCTACTCATAAATAAATTCCAGCCACTGATTATAAAATTTGGAAAGTCTAAAATTTAAAAGGTTTAGATTGATTGATTGTGTCTAGAGTCACCATTTATATTTTTGGGACATTATACTGTGCTTCTAAAAAGTAGCCACATATTGATGGTAGAAGTGTGAAACCATGTATACTTGTTTGCGACGTAGCAGACTCCCTATCATAGTTTATTTTCTCTTCTGAAAACTAGTCAACCTAATTTTTTGATAATTTTTCTCTGTGAGCATAATATTCTGTATAATTTTTAAGCGATAAAGTTGGCTTGTTTCTCTTCGGAAAAATGGGTGAGCTGAGAAACCGACTACCAGAACTACTTTTCATGATGGTAGAGGAGATAGAATCTCTGATTTAGCAAACTTGTTCTACGAATAAATCACTGCAAATCTCTGCTCTTAAATCAATTTTGTTCCAAGTCACCATTGTCTAACGGAACTGCTTTGGGAATTCTTCACTCAAAGAATCATGGGAGGAAAAAATAATAAAGATTGGTTGACAGTTCGAAGCATTGCTTTGCAGTAAGATATTACTAGGAAATAGACTGCAAAAATTGTGATAACATACTTAATTTTTTTAGGACTTACAAAACTTTTTGTAGACCATTATGTACAAAGGCTATGGGACTTTTCATTTGTTCTCATACATAGGCCTGTCAAGAAAATTATTAGATTTTGGCTGTGGTGACCCTTTGATGGCAATAACTTACCCATATTGTAGAATGATAGGTTTCGATTTAGTACAGGGTGGAGGATGTAACTCATACAACATTTTCTTGATAATTTGAGCCATAAGTTGTGATCTGAAAAATTATCGGAAAAAAATCCAGCATTGGTCATTAAGTTCTTCGGTTTTAATTTTTATGAATGTGAACATCAAACGATTTATAAATGTTTACTAAACAAGGTTTCCAACATTCTCTTCTGCCTTGAATGAGCTAAGGGAAAACTCAGAAGTAATACAAGTTCACTAGATAAAAATTTAGATCTCATTTCAGTTTAATTCAAATTTAATAATTACTTCAATGTTTAAAAAACTATTTTCTTCAGGCTACTCATCTCATCTTTTTATTTTTATTTAGATGAGACCTGGTTGAAGAAGTAGCTACGGTCTCGTTTCACTGAGGAGAAAATGTGCGACAAAAAAACCTCGAAACATTAATTTCCAAACACATTTTGGTTTGTGTCTGATAGTTAAATGATGATGCATACTTGGATTATTTAGACCTCAATGAAATTGAAAAAAACACTTGGATTTCCTAGGAATTAAAAAAAAAAGTTCATGCGTATCAATCCAAAATTAGATTAATTCTGAACACAATTAAAAAAATTAGTTTTGAAAAAAACGAAAATATGAAATAACACACCTTTCATTAAAACTATCTTGCTGGTATGCTTCTTCGTTTACAAACGGACTTAAAAATTGTTTTACCATGTTCATTGGCTTTAATAATTCATCTTGGTGTAAAATCTGGAAGAATAGAAATGAAACATTTTTACATAATTTGTCAGACAAAAACAAGAAGAAAGAACAGTAGAAACGAGTACAGTAGAAAGAGGCTGAAAATTTCAGGTAAAAATAATTATGGGGACTTACATGCATGTAGGAGCAAAGCCAAACAGTCGCACAAACGGGAAGACAGAGCATCTGAGATCTCATTGCATCCAGGAAGCGTTTGACGTCTGAGCTTGACAAAGCGTTGTACTGCCAGGCAATGAGTACTTCTTTGATGGCACCAGAAACGTTGATACAATGTTCATGCCATCGCACTTGACTTTAAAAACAAATTTAGAAGAAAAATTCATCAGGCAAGTCGTTTTTTCTATTATAAATAAAAAAAAGGGGCTTTAGCTGTAGCTGTGTACATAATGGAATGGTTCAGTACAACCGCATTTTTTGATTCATCGTCTGAAAGTACATGGTAGAAACTTTTATCCTGGGAATTTTTTTCAGGATTTTTTAAACCCTTGTTGACAGAGAACTTCTATTTAAAAAATGATGAAAATGGGGCCCGATTGAATGATAATTTTGGTGGGCACTAATGACGTAGCCAGGTGGTGGAAACGGCATTTGTTGATTGGATGAGCTCATATTCAAGCATTGCCTTGCTACGTCAACTTGACTGTCGAATTTTGATTGATCCGATTTGATTAGCTTGTTTTTCCCTAATAAGTTATTTTTAAACTTTTTAATGAACTTTTTGATTTTTTCACAAAACTTTACGTAAGATTAACTGATCTAGAACCTTGTAAAGGTTTCTTTCCACCATCCTGTTATCTGGTGTTTAAAATCAAAAGACACTAATGCAAGAAAGTAATTACAAATGAGTAAGAAATAATGTACATTACACACTTTTTATTTTAAAACTTAGGATCAAAAGAAAATGAAAAAAAAAAATGCTCTGGAGATTAGATTCATCAGGCAAACAAGAATTGTAAAGGCTTGGAAGATTTGCATAAGATCAGTCTTCTGCCTAATTTAAAGGTTGACTTCATCACCGATTTATCGCTCTCGGTTTTTAAAATTTCAGCAGGGCACTCAAGGTCTAAAGAGAAAACCGAATGCTGAGAAATGGCTAATTATAATCATGAGTCAAACTTTTCACTGCCTTGGATAAAGGACTTTCAAGAAATTGAAGTAAAATATTGCTGAATTTGATAAGTGCTAGAATTTACCCCATTTTCCAGTCAGGTTTTGGAGAGTTCAATAAAGCTAGGAGGGCAGTCACTTTCTCTGCATCACAAAGATTCAAAATATTGTCCGGTGGTTTGGGGAATTGTTCAATTAGACAATCTCGAACCCACTGTTCAAAGAAGGAATCTGAGCTCTTGTCCGGTAGAACACCCTATAAAAATACGGGTGAAAAAGACAACTTTAAACAATTTGGAAATACATATGATTACAGTAAGACCTCAAATTATCGGATAGCAATTTAACGGATTCCATGATTTAACGGAACGATCCTCCGGTCCCTTCAGCGGGACCCACTAGCACGATTTAAAGGATTTGGCCTCCGGTCCTGTGAAATCCGATAAATCGAAGTCTTACAGTATTAGCTGATAGTTTTGGCGCATTAGTTCTTTTTTATTGTTCAACTAACGGAGTCAGTTCACAGGTAAAATGATTCGAGTTATAGTATTTTCTTACACTTACCATCTTCCGAAATTTGAATTTGAAATTAATCATCACAAAAAATTTTTGAAAAATGATGAATGAATCTGAATCCTGAAAATCTGGAATCTGATGCATCACAAGAAATTTGCAACATTGCATGCAAACTATGATATAGGTTTTCAGTATACTGATTCCAATAGATATATACTGACAGCATACAAAATTGACATACATTCAAGTCTCAATTGTGTGCATCACATAGAAAAAAATTCAAAGCATATGGACATAAAAATGAAAACATTAAACTTTTTGAAGTATTTAAAGCAGCTAAATTAGTTCTTAGAAGGTGGAGAAATGATGCTGGGTTCACACCATTTCGCAGGGAAACGAAGCCAAGAATTACCAAAAATTTTTAGAAATTCTTGGCTTTGTTTCCCCGCGAATTTGTGTAGACCCAGCACCATTTCTCCACCTTGTTACGTACAGTTCGGGGCACTTCTTAGTGTTTTTTTTTTCATTAGTTCTAAGATTTATATTGTTGGAAAGGAGGAAAATTATGGAGTACAATGGTCAGCATTTAAAAATTTTGAGGGTTAGAATTCCGGTATCTGTTTACTCTCATTGTGTAGACCATAAATTGGACTGCATTTTGCAATTTGGAACTATAAATTCTGGCTCGGTTTAAAAACAACGTACGTGCCATTGGTTTCCCTATGCACATAAGTGTTTTTTCAGATGAGCCAGAATCTATAGTTCCAGATTGCAAAATGCAGTCCAATTATGCTGAATCTGCTGTGTATCTAATGCAATATCAATATCTTCAGTTGACTGAAACGTTTAGCATCATATACATACATGCGTACCAAAGTAAATGCTATTGGACCTATGCTGAAGTAGCTCTAATGAAAATTGCAGAGTTAAAGGTGCATTACCTGGGTGCCAAATCGCTGGACTATTGAGACAAGCATTAAAAATGTAATATCGAACAACATGGCTTTCTTCTCAGCTGTTTGCGTATCAGCCGAAACAACATGTTTGGTGCACTCGTTGAATTTTATTAACTTGGACACAAACGTTTGAAGTTTTCCTTTAACAATGGCCACAGCAACCATCAACTCAAAACTTTTCAAGACATGGCAAAGTACACCAGGTATACTTTCCTGTGATTAAAAGAGAAAAAGTAACACAAACATATTAGAATTAGAATCTATCACTGTAAATTTTCACCGACAAAAAAATAAGTATAGAACATTTCTTCCTTTAATAATCTAACTACATGAAAAGAAACCCTTAAAGAACGTTGATTTAGATCATAAGATTGTACGGGATCATAAGGCCTTACTGGTACATGAATTTTGATTTGGATTCTGAAAAGATGCTGGTCAGGATTTCACAGAATTTAAAAAATGATATTCCCTGAAATTTGAGAATATGCAGTCAGGTTAAAAAGACCTTTTTTTTTTTTTTTTAAAATTGAAGCATCATTCATACAAGTACATATATAATTTGTCCATACTTAAAAAGACATTAAAATCGCCAATTCCAAATTCGAACGTGCAAAATTTGTTGTTCAAAACGTTAGACACATAGAGAAATGCAAATAAAGGTGATCTGACAATTTTTGCTTGAGACTTGTATAATTTTTCCTAACAGTTTTCGGTTATTCCTGAAGACGACAATCCTGATAAATGCAACCAACAGACTTAAAGTAGGCCTGATCAAATGAAAACTCTAGCCTGGCAATAAAAATCGGTATTTTTTTAGACAGACCCCTAATTGAGCTAAAACTTGTGTGAAAGCAAGACATCCTTGAAAGAAGTTGTTGCCAAATGCTATAAGACTTTCAGTGGGGTAGTAAATTTGGCAAAGAAAATGGAATTTGGTGGTAAAAATCAGGTTTTGCGAGGCAAGAACTATGCCACATTATGCTTGAAAATTTCGCATGCCAGATGTTTTTTTCTTTGAAAGTTTCATACAGCTGTATGACTGTTGAATATAATGCAATTCATCATCAGTGGTGTGACATGTTGCGATATATCGATTGATCTGCCATTTAATCCTACGGAAAAGGATCGATAAACAGGGTGTTCGCAGCGAACACCTTAATAATCAATTATTTACCACAGCTTCAAATGGGGAAATACCGATACTCGATCATTCACGCCACGCCACTGTTCATCATGGCACATCCGCTAGTTCTCAAAATGTCACAGGAATGAAAAGTTGAACTTCTGAAACTATTTTTCAGGAGATACAGACCAGTATTTTGGAGTATTCAGCATCCAGAGCCATTAACATGCCATCTAACGTTTGTTCAGCTTTGATAATTACTTTAGAGATGGGCATTGTTGTTGGAGTATTTTCGGCTTGACTTGCTTCTGTCCTATGTAAATTTGATACTGCTACCTCTCTGCGAACAACAAACAAAAAGCTGATCCTACAATTTATGAGAAAAATGTGTCCTTCACAGAAATTTTAAGAACGCTTTTTCATGAGAACATTAATTACTAAGCATTCTTTTTACAGGATTTCCTGGGATCATTACATTTTCATTGTTAGAATTAAAACGACGATTTTGATTCAGATAATGTCAATTAAGTTTCTATGAGTCGACTCATTGTGATTGTGAACCTTGAAGAATAACATAAAATGATAACTAAGGAACGATACTGCCCATCTGCAAACTGACAGTTTTGCAGGATGAAGGAAATATATTGATATTTTTGTCATTTTGAGGCTCGGTTTGCAATTTTTTTTATACATTAGTTTCATTACAGCGCTCTCATGCAGAATTTAAGAAAACTGAAAACAGCAGCTTGCATATTTTACATCATAGAATACGGCGCAGCTGCTAGCTCATGTTTGTCAAAATTGTCAGATAGGCGATATTGAACCTTAACCATCAATAATTGGCTGTAATTTGTATTAGGGTGTAACACAGGTAAGACAATTAAAATATAAAAAGAACAGTGGCTTCTTGAATAATTCTTGGATTTTGAATTCAATTATAAGGATAGTCCTGAATCCAGGATTTTGGACGATAGAATGTACTCATGATCAGCCAAATAATGAAACAAAGTACCTTGATGCTGCTATGGCTTTGATTTGGGGCTCGGTTATTAAATTGATTTTTCCTAGTTCTTGCAGGAAACACTCAATGCAGGCGCAATCACATCTTGTGTCCATTATGTCAAGTAAAGGATAATATTGCAGCAGTAGTTCGAAACTTTCTACAATTGATGTATCACTACTACCTGAAAATTAAAGATGACACAACATTTTTAGAATATAGTCCTATTAATTTAAAAAAAAAAGCCCTCCTTAGCAAAGCTTGAGAGAGTCTGGGTGTCTCTAGGTCGGAAAGGTTGCCATAATCTCCACCTGAACTTCTAATAACACTCAAAGCTCAATGAAGACTAGGATGTTGTATCGAGCTTGCTGGCAATGATTTAGTTAGTCCATAATGGTTCTCTAACACCAGGATCTGGTAGCATTAAGTGCTAATTGTGTCATGGAAAAATTCAGGGGTGCTAAAAATTCTTGACTACGCAACCTGGAGATTGTAATCAGACACAAATGAAAATAGGAAAGATCCAAAAACAGTTTAAAATAATGGGACGGCCGTGAGCTTAAGCGTATAAATTGTGTACTTTCTGCAAAACCATTACTTACAAAAACGTAGCAGTTTTTACAAAAAAAAAGGGTCATCACATCGTGATTTTTTAATGAAACAGTTTTTAAAAAAGGAGGGCACACTTGAAAAAAGGAAAAGGATTAGTTTCTTCTAGATAGCATGAATAGTTTTAAGAAAAACAAAAACGAGAGAGATTTGAAAAATTATACTTGTGTTTTAATTTGAACTTACCGTTTTTACTCTTGGAACTGTGTAAACTTTGCAGGATGCAAGGAACTTTCAAAAAATTGAAAGCTCCCCAAAATGATTCTTCATTAGTACCCAAAGCATCATTGAGGCACATCATAGAAGCTCTGATTAATTCACAATATAATCTTTTATCTGAGTAGGACTGGAAAATAAAAGAAAAAATGTCCTGTTATACAAATGAAGAACTTAGGAGGTAAGAGAAAGATTTTTCTGATCTAAAAAAATGCATAAAAAATTAAAAAATGAAATTTTCTTTCCTCAAAATACAATTCTTAACTTTTTTTTGGTACATAAACATGATAGAAATATTAAGGAAATAAAAGATATTGGATTAAATGACCTTAGTGCATTGATTTTTGTGTTGAAATAATTTTGACATTAGCAAAAAGTCTATTGAATCTACAACAACTACCTGTTCGAAACCAAATGTTTGCGTCTCTTTTTTCCTGCAGACAAAACAATGCTCTCTAAATTTATCTTCTTTAAGACTATGTTCAATATCAAGATACACACACACACACCCTTAGCACGATGATCTTGCGTATTTTCTGTATCTACAAATCCAAAGAGTTTTTGTAAGCTGTTGAATGTTCCCTTATTAAAGAACATGTGATCATTACGTATTGAATTCAAGCTGTGCTATGAAGCTGACTTCAACTGACATGAAACAAAGAAAGTTGATTTTTTTATATATTTAATTAGTGACCAAGATTTAAAACTGTACCAATGAGAATGTACAGCTAGCTTCAAAATACCTTTAAACATTGAACTAGGAGCAACTGGTTGACAAAAAATTGTGTATCCGTGTTCACACTACGAAGAGCATCAATTGCCAAAAGGGGTTGAATACAGTGAGTTAGTGGTTCACTAATGTCGACCGTTTTTCCCTGATTCGATGAGAACCCACCCGGTCCAACTTCCAAATTGCAAATTGTCTTGATCGAGGTCAATACTGACTTTCCATGTTCAGTAGTGGGAGTTTGAAGAACCTGAAATAAAAGGTAGAAAAAAAATGTATCGAAAGAGCTTTCAAAAAATGCAAAAAATTTCAGTGTTATCTACTAAAACAGTAACTTAAGGCAAATATTATTAATTTCACTTAGTTCTGCATCTCCAATTATTTAAAGGTAATCTTGCGAATAATCGCAAACCTGTGAGCGATATCCTTTGGGCACGCACCATATTTGGACCTTGAAAGTACACAGCATGCATGTTACACCCTACATAATTAATTACGGTACCAGAAGGAAACTGTAACCAAACTGAAAATTTTTACTATATCAAGCCCTACCATGTAAAACGGTCTGGGTTTCAGTAGACGACACAAACTGCCTACTTATTTTCGCCTCTGATAAGCGACCCTGATTATTTTACTTCCATTCCAGTTACATTGGGTTTTATTCGGAATTATTAGTGATAGGTAGATTTATTTTTGGTTTTTGCTTCAAATTTCAAAAATAGAAGTGAAAAGTCGAGGTCAAAAATCAGCAATGGGCGTTTTATGTATTCCTTTGCCCTTTCCTTTAATCATAACTAGTGAAATAACAATACTGAACGTCCAGTGCTCATGATCTGGAGACTATTTTTTTTGTAACCAGACGAGGCTGTCAAAAATTAGAATTAAAAAAACAGATCTCTGATAAAAACACAATCTTCAAAGAACAAATCATTTGCACCATTAGAGAAATTTTCATGTTCAAGATTTTTTGAATAAAAAGAATAGAATTTACGACTACATGGCATGTCTGAATTCTGATGATTTTTTTTTAATTGCGAGTAGGCTGATGAAAATATGACCCCTTCATGTTTGCTCAGCAGTGAGCTCTTTTGTGTCTTCAATACGACCTTTTTCTTTTTTGAAAAAAAGAAAACATTGGTTTAAAATGAAATATTCAGTACCTCTTCCAGTTCTTTACACTTTCCAATGATCTCTTTAAAAACATCCTTGTCCTCATGTTTGCCAAGGTAGAGCATCGCGACGGTAAAATCACATTTGAGCATCTCCTCCAGGATGCTGACAGTTTTGCTAAGTATCTCTGCTTGCAACTCCGAAGAATTGTTCAGGTACTGTTGGTAGCATTGAAGCAACCAGTGCGTTAATGAGAGGACCGCTGATGCTAAAACTCCTTCCTCCGGTTTGCCACGACAGGTAATACCAGGCTAAAAAAAAATGGAATATTCAGCTAAGACAGTCAAATTAAGAGAGAGTTTAAGTCAATCCACTGCTTAAAACTGTCACTAGATAAGCACTTGGACGTAATTGTAGAAATGCAATTTTTAATAGCTTTTATAGAAAAACTTACGATTTTTCAAAAGAAGCCTAGAAATATTTTGAAAGAGCAACCCTCGAGTTAGGTTAGCAACCCTGTTTTCTGTGATCAATCATGCAAAAAACTGACCTTTGTAAATGATTAGTAGCTGTATTCATTGGTTTGGTAATCTAAATGATTTGCACTATATGAAATACATAATTAATGGGTCCAGTGCATGGACATGTTAAGTGACATTTTTGTGATTTCAAAGAAAACAAATTTAAATTGGATTGATGGTGAAAGATAGTGTGATTTTTCATCATGTTTTACATTTTTTGTCAGATGCTCAAGGTAGAGGGGGAAAAAGTTAATTCAAGAAAAATTCAAGGGTGCAGAAAATGTTGATCATGGCTGTTGCAAGGCAATTTTATAAAAATAACCCTTCCTTTTCTTTTCTGCATACTGTAAAATAGTGGGAAAAAAAGCGCATTTCATCGTAAACTCAGGAATTTCCCATAAAATTGGCCACTTTGCAGTGAGGAAAATTAAAAATATTATTGTGAGGTAATGTCATTCGTCGGCAGCCCTTCAAAAATTTCCTGAAAGAGAGATACTCCACTTTGCATATCAAAAGTTATGATCAATTAGGAGGGCAACTGTGAAGGAGTTTTGGTTCTAGTAGACATATCTCTCATTTTAAATGACTCATTTGCCAAACTGCTTGGGTTCAATAAAATTCATCTCTTTCTTCTTTTTGCATGCAACTTTACTCCTTCAAGGTGTGAAAAAAAGGAAACAATTGATTATATATGCAACCTACTTTGACTAAAATTTGGTTTCAAAATTTTATGGTCAAAATAAATTTCAACCCAACTCAAAATAAGTCTATTAATCCTTAGAGGGTCCTTACCTGGATTGTTTCGAGAAGTTCTAAAAGACTGATGACGCAATGGTGCTTGTTAAAACTTGTAAACTTGCTGATCCTTTGCAGCACAGCTGCATGTGACACCAACTGAAAAGAAGAAAATAACTTGTTGACCCTAAATTTTGACAGCTGAAGTCGAAAAATAAGTACCTCTGTTACAGCTTAACAGGTCTCGGTCATTTTTATTTTCCTCGTAGAAGACAAGCCAACAGTTCATTTTGAAATTTTCCGTAAATTTTCCTCATTTACTAAAATATATTTACAAACCATTTTGAAGAAATATTTCAGTTTAAAAAAATGAAACATAACCTGAGATTTTTAAACATTTCAGTGGGGGTACACACTTTTTGAAAGTCGACTTAGGCCACCAATTTGATGAAGGACATTTTTCAAATGGCGATTGTTCATCATTTGCATTCTGAAATGTTTACATGGTGTTCCAAAACTTTTTTGTAGCAGTATTTTATTGTAACCAGTAATAAAAAAATCATTAAAAATAAAAAAGAAGAGGTAATAAACATGGTGCAACTTTCATATCCATCATTATCTCAACCATCATTAGGCTCGGCCACGGTGGGTATACATGATTGATGCTCTAGCTTGACAAGAAACAATTGTTAAGAAAAGAAGGAAGGTGGCTTATGATAAGATGCTTTAAGCAGAAATAAAAAACGCGGAATGTACGAAGGTTACAAAATACAACCATTGGGACTTAATACCATCTCAATGGCTAGACTAATGACAAAGACTTAAAAAAAATTGCTGAGGCACTCAAAACTTTGTTCAGAATATTCAGCCTTAAAAATATTTTAAGCCTGAAGAACTAAAACTTTATAAATGCTTGCTCAAAAATAATTATACCTGACAGCATAGACAATGCTTGAGGTAAGACAAAACCAGTTGGTTTGGTCCAAATCCAACAAGGGCTTGCTGAAGAATGCAGTCTGCAAGGTTATAGACATCTCCACTTACTCCTCGTGGTAAAATCTGTTAACAAGAAATATATTCATAAAAATTTGAGAAATAGTACCTAAAGGATAATATGCACTGTGAAGAAATCCGTGTAGTAAAAGATTTGCATATTGCAATCTACAGAATAATGAGGGCAAAAAAAGAGAGAAGAAAAAAGGCTGGCAGAGAGGGTGCTGTCTTGTATATCTATTTTTGATGGTTGAAACTTAATTCTCTTTTCTTAAAAGTTTTGGGATTTAATTTTAAGGTTGAATAATCATCTACAAGTTTGCAATTGAAAGGTTTTACGGATGAAAGAGTAAGAAACTTATTTTCACAAGATGGGGTTCTTGCTCAATTTACTAATTCATTTTTGGAAACTAGGTAAGAATAAGAATACCAGGTTTTTCCTGATTTTTATTGAATCAAATTATAGCCGAGAAAAAGACTTTTAAAGTCATTAAAAATCCAACTGAGTTCAATGACTTAAAAGGTGCCATTCGGTTGAGCGTTCCAAGTGATCCAGGATTTTTTCCTCACTTCTTTCCCAAATTTTTAAAAGCGTTTACTTTTTTTATTTTTTGTTTTTTTTTCTCTATATTTTTGAAAATGTGCTCGAGACATCCCCTCAATAATCAAAATGATCAAAAAATTGTCAGCATTACCTAGTTTTGAAAATTTCTTTTGTTGTTGTTTTGGACAAAAATTTCCTAGCGGATCACATGATTTGCAGATTTTGCACCCTTGACTGATTGTGAGTTTTGAACTTGCTGATACTTGTATTATTGTTTGAGTGAAGACCGTGATTCCAGTATTAAGTCTTTGCATTACAGGACTGTAGTGCTCAAATCACTCCATTCTGCAGGTGACAAGAAAGAGCAATCTAATACTTAGAGAGGGTTTGACTAAACCCTCTCTAAACTTGAACTTAACATTTTAAACTTAAAAAATCAAGAAAGATCACTTGGGCATAACAAATGGCAGCAACAATACCAATTGGTTGAAAAAATATAATTATACACACCGTTTTAATGTGAATACCCCATTGTAAGTCTGTCCACCTTTCTCGCCATGCTTTCAGCACTAGGGCTTTGAGACTGCTGGTTTTGCTTGTCACTTTACTGATTTCCATTGTAGCTTTGGTGCTAGATCATCTGTAGAAGAAATAAAAATGGATAAGTGATTGGTAGGGCAGGTGTCACACAACAAAATAAGTTAAAATAGAATAAAGAAGGAAAAAAAAACTTTTACAAACTTAAATCCGTAATGACAACCTAAAACCTACTTGAAAGGCTCAAATTCAAGTAAAACAACTTAAGAAATAAGTAGAACTGATGGTCTACAAAGCCACAGCCCTGGATAAAGAATCTTCTAGTGAATTTGGAGACTATGTTACGGTCACTGGTCCCCTAGTCTGAAATGCTGTCGGGGAGATGCCGTTGATACTGTGGGTAAGAGCGGTTGCAGGAATAAACGAACAAATATAGCATTTGTGTACCAGTGGTGAGATAATTACTTTGAAGCCAAGTTCAAGGTTTCACAGATACATGACCAAGAGGGTTTTAATGATTGGATGAGTCTGCTGAAACTTTTGATTGTCGTCTGAAAAATATCTACCTTGCAACGATGCCTACAAATGTGTTTTCGTACTTTGAGACTGCCAGCTGTATTTCACAGGCAAGATTGGAATTATTTCTGCCGCTTGCAGTTGAAGAATAGCTCTACTTAAAAATAGATCCATACACATATCTTACCATCGGACAAATATCAGAGTCAAGAGATGCACCATCATAAATTGCGAACCGACCCAAACGGGCCCCGTGTCCTGTCCTGTCCCACGTCCACTTTAGTACCGCAGATGTTGAACGATCTGCTGATGGAAAACGGAAGAGTCGAAGAGTCTGTAGTGGGGAAATACTTCAAAAAATGAAAAACAACCCGAGAAAAATATCCGGAAAAATTGTGACAGATAAAAACCATGTAAAAACCCCAGAAAAGCCGAAGCCGAAAATGAAATGCGACCATTGACGTATAATACAATCTAGACCGCGCATTACGAAATTCAAGCGAGACGATAGGCAACCCAGCAACACACAGCAAGTGTACCGGCGAGACAATGGTGGAATTCGTGGAAATGCCNAAATGTGTTTTCGTACTTTGAGACTGCCAGCTGTATTTCACAGGCAAGATTGGAATTATTTCTGCCGCTTGCAGTTGAAGAATAGCTCTACTTAAAAATAGATCCATACAAATATCTTACCATCGGACAAATATCAGAGTCAAGAGATGCACCATCATAAATTGCGAACCGACCCAAACGGGCCCCGTGTCCTGTCCTGTCCCACGTCCACTTTAGTACCGCAGATGTTGAACGATCTGCTGATGGAAAACGGAAGAGTCGAAGAGTCTGTAGTGGGGAAATACTTCAAAAAATGAAAAACAACCCGAGAAAAATATCCGGAAAAATTGTGACAGATAAAAACCCCAGAAAAGCCGAAGCCGAAAACCGAAAATGAAATGCGACAAGCGAGACGTCAACAATGGTGAATGATGAGACAGCGGAGACGTTCATCGATGGTCCAATTGTTTACTTCTTGTTATCAATTTCGTTTTGTCCCTTATCTCCACGTGCTTTTTAAATTTCTTTTGCTCCTTCTTCTTTTAGAAAATTTATTCAAGAAAGTATATTTAAAATTTAAGTGTTTAACCCTGATAATACAGTAAAGTATCCCACTGAAGCTGAAGCTTGTGAGGAGGAGTTACAAACCTTCAGGGAAAACGACATAAGGTAACTGCCCTTATTACTCTCGAAGTAATTAATTCTCTTTTTAAAAATGCAGAGTCATACTTAAATCCATTCCTACACATCCAGTCTTCATTTTTACGACCAATTTGTAGGGATTGGCGATAATCGAATTCGAATTGCTATTACTTTGAGAAATCAAATCTTGCGATTTCGAATACTGCAGAAGTGTATATTTGAATATTTTCGATTATTGCTTCGATTTTTCATATTTTTGAACGGTGGAACCGTACTGTCATTAAAAGGAATAAATGATTTTTTGACTAAGACTGTCAGTCATTCCTGTGTGGAGTTTTGGACCAGTTTTGATTAATAACAAGATTGACGATACGGATGGACGGTCATCAAATTCGAATGCAATTAAGTATCTGAACATTCAAACTTCTTGATTGCGATTTTTTGAGAAATCGAATCTTTCGATTTTGATTACTTCGGAAGCGAATATTTGAATGTGATGCGATTAGCTGAGTGCCGATAATTTGAATACCGGATATTCGATCATCTAAATCTTCGTCCATCCCTACCAATTTGTTCCTACCCATTTGAGCCTGATCAGTGCGTATCTCAGAGTTTTCCTGAACTAATGTCGACCATTCTTAAAGAGGTAGTCTCTCATAAATTTTGAAGGTGATTCAACGGATACCATTTTTTGTGTCAGAGTTACGTGCGATATATCGCATCGATTTGTTCCATTATTTCAGCTACTTGTCATTTTTTCAAATTTTGAGATCGCACCTCTGCTCTCACAAGACTTTAGCATTAACGTACTAAATTTGACAAAGAAATTCAACAAAACAAACGCAGGGTTTTTCAGAGGAAAAATATTGCATTTGAGTGCAGTTTCGGTAACAGTATAGAATGCGGTATTTTTCCTTTAAAAAAACCCTGCCTTTATTACATTGAATTTCTTTGTCAAATTTGGTACATGAATTCTCTAGTCTCATGACAACAGAAGTGCGATCTCAAAATTTGAAAAAAAACAGCAAGTAGTGAAATTATGGAATGAATCGGTGCGATACATCATACGTCGCTCTGATACCAAAAATGGCGTCTGTAGAATCACTTTAAGAATCATTATTAAAGCTTTATTTATCATTTTTTTCTAGGCACTAATTTCTTCAGTTTCTCTTCATTTCAGGATCAGATTGGAGAGTGCTGAAAGAGGGCTGAGTCCTGAAATATTCAGCGTTATGTATGATTTGGATAGAACAGAATCCTCCATTCCAGCAAAATGTCCAGATTGATACTGAGTCTACTTATCCCCTGCACCATGAAAAAAGTGGAAGATTCAAGAGTTCATGTGTCTACTGAGGTGAGGATGAGTAAAGAACTAGTAAATTGATAGTGAAAGTACCAAACCATGTATCTTGGACTACAATACTGCAAAGCACCTGCCACATTACTCTTCAGAAGAAGATCTAGTCGCGTAGATACATAGATAGTTATTTGCACAGAATTGTATCTCACACATACTTAATTGTCACTACAAAACGGTGTCAGTAGGTAAAAACTTCGTGCTAGACTAGAAGTAAGAGGAAGGGAATTACATAATTATAACAATAGAATTCTTTTGAGAAGGCTTGTTTGCTCGTTTTGCACAGAATTTTGTTTGACTTCTTTCCCTTCTATCAAAAATTTTCTGTGAAAGTCTTGCACAAAAGAGTAGGGTAGTATTATTTTAATGAATAAATTATGAGCTAAAAGGACCCTGCAAACCTGTCATGGGAATGTATGCCCACACCAATTTCTAATATTTTTATTGCATTAAACTCATCCACTGATTGTGATAAAAACTCTTCAATAGGTACAATTTTCTACACGCCATCAGTTTTGCTCAGTTTACGATTGCAGTTTTGCTAATTTCTGCATTTAATGAAGTAAGCCCAGTGCCAATGAGTCAAAGAGACCCCTCTATCTCTTAGCACTCGAGAACAAGCCGTCTATAATTCACAGAAAATCCCAGCATGTGTCTGTTGAAGGAAGAAAGTGCAAGAGAGAAAGTTTATATGGTCAGTGAAATGAAATAACATGAGGATAAGATTGCCGCTTGGTAGTAAAGGCTTCTGATTACAATATACTCTCATGGGCTGGGTTTTTCTTTAGTTCACAGCCGGCCCATACTTGAATGCTGAGACTGGGAGGATGAGGGATATCTTTGACTCATTTTTGCTGCTCTGGCTTCATTTAACTCAGTAATTACTGGAACTTCAAATGTGCATTGTTGACACACACCCAAAAAAAAAAGAGAAAAAAAAAGTGCGTTGTGTATGGACAGTGGCTTGTAGAAACTTTGCCTTTGATCAGGACCAATAGATGAGTGCAATGCATTACAAAAACTGGCTATAGGTTTGGCCACACATTCGTATGATGTACTTTCAGAGACTTTTTAATGTGACGCAATCAAAATCTGTAATTTGGAAGTTATCTACACCATCAAGCTCTCATATTGACTCATCATGCCCCTTATGACCTCAAAAATCCTCCACGCAATAATTTGAAGTGGCCAATTTCATAGTGTGGACAAATTTTTTTGAAAAACAAATTTTTCCCCCTCAAATTTTGTTTCTTTTTCCGATTAAAGATACTGTAGTACTTACCAACTCACTTATGATACTTATTTTTATGTCAAACACTAACGAAATTGACATTTGAGGTACGGGCACACAATCTGTAGGGCAAAATCTTTTGGATAAGGCTCTTACTTGCGTGAAAAAATCATGTTTGTCATGTCCAGGCCCATGTAAAAATAACTAAATGATACAACTGTCGCTTTTTCTCGGCAAATGTGAAAAATGATTTGGCATGCAAGAAAAACAGGTTTCTTAAAAGAAAAGTCAATTTTTTTAAAGTAGACTTTACAGGATTAGTATTATTTTAACATTCATCAAAATTTTTCTTTCAGGTGTCAATCTTACCACATTGAGGTTCTCAACTGTTGAAGTGATTCAACGATTGGCAAGAACTCTACTCGATACGGCCTGTCAGCAGATTTCTGGTTTGTATAAACTCAATTACTTTCAAATCTTGGATCACCTTCTGCTTGGCGTGCTATTCCTCCAAGCCTTGATCTGTCAACGGATCTGTTAACTTGTGCACAATGCCGAGTGGTCTGCTATATTCTTTATGCCGTGCTGTGAACCGAGGTGATCTTGGAACAGTGAAAAACTTGTTCAGCGTATTTGGGTTCAACTGGCAAGAGCTGGCAGGAGGATACTTATTGGTCTGTACTGCTGCTGAGCAAGGATTCACTGATATTGTAAAGTTCCTAATTGAGAATGGTGCAGAAGTAAAGGATTTTATCAAAGCTTTTGAAAATACACCCTTACATTTTGCTGTTCTAAATAACAAATTAGAACTGATCAAAATTTTACTAGATAAAGGAGTTTCCATTGATGAAAAAAATCAACACTGTCAAACCCCTTTGCTCATAGCAATAGAGAAAGGATTTGTGGAAATTGCAAAATTCCTAGTAAAGAATGGTGCACAGGTAAATGCTGCAAATAATGGTAATTCAGATACACCTCTACATTTTGCTGTTCAACACAATAGTTCAGAATTGGTTGAAATGCTTGTCAAATGTGCCGTCGTTGATGCAATGAATGAGAAGCATCAAACTCCTTTGCTTTTAGCAGCGGAGAAAGGATATGTGGAAATTGCAAAACTCCTTTTAATGAATGGTGCACAGGTCAATGGTACTAACGTCAGTGATAGAGATACGCCCTTACATTTGGCAGTCCAAAATAACTGTATTGAACTGGTTGAAATTTTGCTGGAGCAAGGTGCACTTATTGACGCAAGGAACGGAGAGCGTCAAACTTCCTTGCACATAGCAACGGAGAAAGGAAATGAAAATTGCATGCTCTTATTGCTGAGGAAAGGTGCATATGTTGATCCCATAGCTCGATTTGGCGAGACGCCTCTGCGGATTGCTGTCAAAAAACAGTCCTTAAGTTCAGTAGAATGTATCCTAAAATTTTGCCCGAATCTGAACAAAAATATCTACAAAACAATCCTGAAGACAGCTATGTGCGGTGAAAGTAGAGAAATTGTCAGTCGACTAATCCAATACGGTTTTTCTCTGTCTCAAGCTGACGTACATGATTGTGGTCTCCTCCATGCTACTGTTGAGAAAAATCAGCTCCAACTTGTCAAGTTCCTGTTGAATCACGGTGCTGATCCCAACTGCCTTTATAAGGGTAATACTCCTTTGCATTCTGCTGTCCGAAATGGGAACATAGAGATCGTGCAATTGCTTCTAAAAGCAAATTGCCGAGTGAATGCTGTTGACACATTTGGAAAAACACCACTCTACTATTCCATTGATTATTCCAAAAAAGACAAAGGCTTAGAGATGCTAAAATTGCTCCTTGCTAGTGGTGCCAAAATTAATTCCAAGAAGTTACTGCACGATGCCGTCAAATATGAGTGCTTTGAGATTTGTGAAGTACTCACTAATAATGGTGCTAATCCCAACTACTCTAGAGATGGACACTTGCCATTACATTCTGCAATCAAAAGTGGACGTACCAATATTGTCAAGTTACTTCTTGATGCCAAGAGCAATGTGGATGCTGTTGATGAATCAGGAAAAACACCCATTGACTACTCTGTGGAACACGCCAAAAATGAAAATGGCACTGAGATTTTCAAACTTCTCTTAGCCAATGGTGCTACAGTCGATAAAAGTTTGCTACACAATGTCGTAAAAAATGAGTGCTTTGAGATCTGTGAAGTTCTCATTAATAACGGATGCGATGTTAATGCATTAGATGAGCATTACAGAACTCCGCTGCTTTACACAGCTTACCCACACTCCTCTTACTTTACTAACAAGGAACTTAATCCTGATGAAACTTATCGTATACAAATTGCAGAACTTCTGTTAAATAGTGGAGCTGATGTAAATGCCAAGTGCAAACGGGATGAAACTGCACTTCATTTTGCCACTCAGTTTGGGTTTGAAAGGCTTGTATGGTTCCTCCTCCAGAATGGAGCAGACGTGAACTCATTTGATAAATTAGGTAATACAGCCTTAACTTTTGCTGTGGACAGAGGTTATACGAACATTTTGAAAGCTCTGATTATTCATGGGGCAGATGTGAATGCAGTTAATCCTTACATGGATCTTACACCATTGCATGAAGCTGCAATCAGCTGGCGTGGTATTGCTGAGACAGTTGAAATTCTTCTAGAACACGGAGCAGATATTCACAAAGTTACAGATAATGATGAGACAGCTCTGCACCTAGCATCTGAGAGGGCACATGCTGCTGTTTTAGATGTTCTTTTAAAAAATGGTGCAGATGTGAATGCCTTGAATGGAGATGGTCTAACCGCATTGCACGTTGTTGGAAGAGAGGAACATGATGTTCCCTATGATGCTGTCAGGGTACTCCTGAAGCATGGAGCAGATGTCAATTGTCGCTCACCGTCGGGGGAAACACCATTGCACATGTCAGTGCAGCGCTGGGCAAAAAGGCACAAAAAAGTTTTGAGACTTCTGTTGGAGAGTGGTGCTGATGTAAACGCAGCTTGTAATAAAGGCATGACACCATTGCACATTGCCGCAGGAGGTAAAGGCTTGGAGGACCGAGTAAAATTAGTAAAACTTCTTTTAAAATATAAAGCAGATGTCAACAAAAAGAATGTTGCCGGTGAAACTGCACTGCATCGGGCCTCTTGGAAAGGACATCATCATGTTGAAGAAGTCCTTCTCTCAAAGGGAGCAGATATAAACCTACTAAACAATTTAGGACAGACTGCACTTGATCTTACTCATGATGAAAACATATTTTTATCTTCAAGTTTTGATTCTATCGATGGTTGTCCAGAGCTAAGTAGAGAAAGTCTGCAGTATCATGCAATTATGTTAAAAACTGCCGGATTTTTTGTGTGCCAAAATAATCTGAAATGGATTGAAGACAGTGATAATGATTTTTTAGTCAATATTAAATATTTTTGTGAGAAAGAAGTTGCCATGATGAAAAGCCATAAACTATGCTGCCATCTATCTTTATTTGATTTTTTAGTTGGTAATACAAATCCACGATGTTTTAATGATCAGAATTTACATGAGGCATTAGACTCAGTTGACTTTCACATGTATAATATTTATCGAGATCTTCTCGTGCGTAATATAAGAGACAATAAGCTGCGTTGGAAATTACTCACTGCAGGGTTTGATTGGTTTATCATCCTGATCAAAACTGGGAACATTCTTAACAAAAACAAAATCGCATTACTACCGCCAGAATTAGTGGAAAAAGTGCTTGAGTATTTGAATAATGAAAGCTTGAATAGTTTGATTCTTTGTGGTAAACAGGTAGAAAAACAATTCAGAAAATCAACAATGTCAATCACCTATTGAATGTACACTCGTCAATTTTTTGCCCACATTTAAACAACACAATTTTATTTAGTAATCTACTCAGTTACCTGACTTTTTGTACCTACCTACGTTTGTTTTTTGTTTCTGTACCTATATTGCAATAATTTCTAGGAATACGAAGTTTTGTTGAAGAATATGAAGTGATATTTTTGATGGTCTAGGGAAGGTTGATCTCACTGAATACTTATTTTTAGTACTTTTATGCCACAGGGCTTTCATTAATAATTTAATATTGTATTTGGTTGCTGCCAACCGTCGGCTTACTGCTTTTATTGTAGGTACTAATTAAACCTAAAATTAATACTGATATATACTTTAAGTCTATGCTAAAATTTGATATTGCTAAAGAAACGCCTCTATAAGAGGTTACAATCTAACAGTTTCTGTTTAATAAATATTTTTCTTACACTATTTTTTATTTTCATTTTCATCTGACTGAATGCAAATTTAAATATAATAATATTCAAAGTTTTAGACAAATACTGACACTGAAAGTGGAGCAACATATATCTAAGTTGCAACGTCCTACAGTCTATATATTGTTGTTCCATTTTTTTAAACAAAATTAGTGGCAGATACTATGGGCAAAATTTTTGCACAATGCTCTGTACAGAAATGAAGAAAAGTTAGTAAACATTCTATCAAACTAAAGAGAAGGTTGTAAAGTAAGCAAGTTAAAATATTCAATATCTCCTAAACCAAGGAGGATAGCGAAAATCTGAAAGATTTTCAGGCGAGACTTTTCAATATTATAATGCAACACCCCCCCCCCCCCCTC